AGTCTGGATAAGAGTATGTGTTATCTAACGATTTTATTTTCAATTTCCAAAAAGTAAAGGAAATCGTTAAAAAATGTCGCTGCATTATTCACATTATTCCAGTCCCACTTACGCTTTACTATCTCAATCTTGATTGATATTTAGTTGGTGATGAACCATAGACTTTCATTCGATAGTGTGTTTAGTCAGAACACTTGAACGATTATCTGTAAGGATTGGTTTTACATCCATATAGAGGGGTGGACTAAAGGCTTAAATTGTATATTTAAGCTTATCTTACTTATCATTGGATTTTCCCTTTAGAAAAAAATTTTTTTCGTTAAGTAAGTAGGCTTTTCCAACTTACATACAATGAATTTAAAAACTGTCAAATATTCACTCATATATAAAATACCTTGTTAGAAATTTTCGTTTCGGACCGCCACTACTAAACTCATAGTTACTTTCTATATACTGCACAAAAACTATAACTGCTTGTTCAAAATTTTTGTCGAACCCATTACAATCCTTACAATGAACCATTGCAAAACCCACTCCACTAACCATGGAATTTTAAATATTACAAATATGCATTGTACAATCCACTGCCATTATCTTTTTTTTAGGGATATTATAGCTTGAACAAAACACATTCGTCATTTACGGAACAAATTATCTCTTCGGTCCAATTAAACGATAAGATACGAAATACTTTAGATGCATCAGATATTGTTCAATGGCACACAAATTTTTAGAGGATTAACGAAAAGTTCATTTCTAGTATCGGCGTGTATGTAGAGACCTTTGCTTCACACATTTTTATAATGTTGTTTATGTTTATAATGTAGTTAAACTTTTATATATGGTATAGTTCACACCATCTTACTATATTCTTCAGATCATAATGAGATCGAAAGACCTGACAAAAAATTAAAATATAAAAAATTAATAAATATAATGAAAAATGAATAAACCAATGGAAAAAAAACAAACGTACAGGTTTCTGTTTATTTAAATGTCCACCGCTTAAAGCCCAAAGTAAGAATCGGCGACAAATAATATTAATAACTACATTTCAATCAAAAAATTATTACACTTTCACACTTCAAAAAAAAATCATTATTATTAACACAAATCAAATCCCCAAATTATAGCTTCAATAAGCTTTATAGCAGCACTATTTTAATTATTTGAACTAAATTATGTATATAAACTCATTTCTGACACTCCATTCAATTAAAGTCAACGTTAATATATTAATTATAACTAAGAATAAATTTGGATGTTAATTTTCTGTTACAAGCATCGAGATGTGTGGAGAAACCTTATAAATACTTATATAGAAACTTAATTTCGCTGAACTATCGTTTTCGAATAAAATTATCTCAGAAAAAACTATTAAAAGACTAATACAATCTTGAAATAAAAATCAATGATTTTTCTTACGCAGTCTAAAATAATACAAGCATTATAACTTATATAGACATTAATATCGAAACACCACAAAAAATACTTAAGAAACTGGAGATATATCGCCACAATTAATAACAACTACTGGCCCTACACTAATGATGGTCCTGTAAATGCCTATCAACAGCGTGAGAAGATATTATTATAATTATCTAAATATAAAGTTTATATATTATATATATATAATATATTAATAAATGTATTAGTATATACATGTATATATAATAACATATATATAATTAATAATAAGTATATTAATAATATATTTAAATATATTAGGTATTTTGAAGCAATATTAAAGTGGTGAACGATCTGATTGAATGTTAAATTAGTTTGAAAAGAAAAGTTTATTAATACAGTCAATAACTCGCATTTCTATAACTTAAATTTTCTATAACTCGAACCAAAAACAGTGCACCAAGGTTTCAAAAGTGCATTCTATAAATCGAATTTTCGTTCTAAGTATAAATACATTTTGCTGTTAGGGGAAGTCCCTTTTTTCAAACCAAAAGTTTAATTTTTTTTCTTATGTTGCTTCTTTGCGCAAATGCCAGTCGTTGGCAACGTGGTTTAAAGTAAATAAAATAACTTCCAATGCTATTCTTAACCATTATATTATATTGAGCTTGATAATAAAATTTGTACATCAATCTTTCCTACAGATGATGATATTATTGAGGACTATAGCTCCAAATTACTGGAACCAATTCTAAGCGCAACAGAAAGTGATGATGAGGGTTCCGTAGATGTAATTATTTATCAGTCTTCCATGAATGAAGTAGAAGACGCATTCAATATTCTGAATTTATATATGCAGACGAATGATACTACAACTGATGATCACTATATGAGTATAAATAAAGTCGAATCTCTTTTTACTGAAAATAAGATAAAAATTAAAATCTCAAACCCAAATTTTTTCATATTTTACTTTACTATAACTTCTGTGTTTTATTTGATTACAAATAAATAAATATCTTAAAATATAATTCTAGTTTCTGTCAAAAATAAAAAAGATAAAAAATTCTCTAACTCAAAGTGTCCATAAGTCGAAGTGTCCATCTTTGCAAATTTGGACTTCGAGTTATGAAAGTTTGACTGTATACTGCATACAGAGTATATTATGTATAATTAATTAAATGACTATGCTTTTGTCAAATTAAATTTTTTTATATTCTTACTAACATTACACCATTTAATTATACGTTTTTCAAACCATGAAAACCATGCATAATGGTTTTTTTTGCAAATTTTTTCTTTACATTAGCCATAATTTTTTCTTTCAGAGTAGTAAAAAAATACTTGCAACGTACGAAAGAAAACATGTGAAGCAACAACAAAGCTCTTAAAATTTTCAGAGTTAGATTTTGCTCGCAAAAATTTTTATGTCTTAAGTTTCAGTGCAGCCAAATTAAAAAATTGGTCTATTGTGAATGATCATTGGAAATATGTTACGAAACTCCAGTCATCTGCTGATATCATATAAGCATATCATTTACTTATATATTTATATATTATTTACTAATAATATATAAATAAATTTATTTAAATATATGATATAAAAATGATAACCATTGTTCTTCTAATACTCATTTTGTTTTCTTTTATTTTAATTAGTTAATAGGCGTTTTCGGTGGCTCGCAAGTACGGCAAAAAATGCATGTTGGCCTATGTTGGCCACGCGAGTCATTGGCATCACTGTTGCAATCTGTCAAATGTTTTGTTTTGACGTTTTGATGTTTTGTATATGTGCATATAAATCAGTTATATTTTTAAAAAAATATTATAAAATTAAAATGAACACGGAATTAAAAGGAATGGTAAGAATATTGGAAATTTAAAAATAAAACACTAAGATAAGTAAATTTTTGTAGGTACTGTCGATGTTGGGAGAAGAAAGCAACGTTTTGCAGCGGCCGAGGGATGCAAGTTGCAAGTTACGTGTATTTCTATAAAAAAATTTTTTAGAAAAACTTCAAAAATTATGTTTGTTTTATTAATTTTATGTATGTAAACTACAAATTAAATGAAATAAAATAAATGTTACTTGGTAATAACTAACATAATAAAAAATTCAATGTGCTTAATACTTACGATTTCTCCATTCTTATTATTTCTTATTTACTTTTCAATATTTTTCAAATTTTTGAATTCTGTTTGAATTTTTATTTCCTCAATTTTTGACATTTGATTGCACTATTCGTTGGAATTTTCAATGAAGGTTCACAATAGTTCGCTTATTGCGTTGGTAACATTTTTTTTTTTACTGGCCGATGTGGTTGGCCAGCATAACTATGCTGGCCGATGCAGAGAAAATAGTGTTGTTGTTTTGCGTACATTGCGGCCAGTATAGGCCTGCATAGGCCAACAACTTGCTGTTTTTTGCCGTACTTGCGAGCCACCGAATACGCCTAATATAGAGTGTTGACAATTTTTATATTTTATATATACACATTATTATAAAAAAACATATGTCAAAAATAAGCATTTAACATATTTTGAAATTTATGTCAATTTGTTTTAACCAGGCTTTATATTAGGCCTTTTCGATGGCTGGCAAGTATTCCAAAAAATACATGTTGGCCTATATTAGCTACGCGAGACATTGACATCACTGTTGCAATTTGTCAACTGTTATGTTTTGACAAATAGTAAAAATAGCATAATGCAAGCAAATTACATTTTGTATAAAAAGAAGTAATTGACAAAAATTAAAAATAAAAAGGGAATGGTAGATATGTTGAAAAATTCAAAATAAAACACTGAAATTTTTCTTTTTTTCCAATTTATGAAATTTTTGAATTCTGTTTGAATTTTTATTTACATGTAATTTTTGACATATGATTGCAATACTCGTTGGAGTTTCCAATGGAGGTTCACAATATTTCGCTTATGCGTTGGTAACACTTTTTTTTTGTTACTGGCCGAGGTAGAGAAAATAGTGTTATTGTTTTCCTTACATTTCGGTCAGCATAGGCCAACTTGCTGTTTTTTGCCAATAAATTCTTTGTATAAAATGTTATTATATAATTTTTAAACTTTTAACATTAATAATTAATGCTAAATGAACAGTATTAAACACTGTTTTATTTTTCTTGCAATTGTCTTTTAACTTTTTGCTTTTATTATAACGATTGTTTTATATTTATTCATGTATTGCTATTTTAATTAAGATAATAAAATTTCCTTAATAAACAATTAATGAATGAATTATTGAAAAAATACTTTTTAAAAATACTTAAATATACTCTTTAACACAAGCAACAGTTATAAAGAATAAACAGCTGATTGGAGTTTTGCATTTTCTTTCAAAACTCATTCACAATAGATCAGTTTTAAGATTTTTTTGCAAATTTTGTTCTAGCTTTGCATGTTTTATTGCAGCATGTATGTCAAAAGAATACACCTTTAGTATTAAATTATATGCATTGTATATAATAAAACTTAAGTAAACGTCTTTTAGTAGTTTCCAGCACTGTTCTGCATTTGACACTGGAAATCAATGTGAAATTGAAACATAGTGCAAAATGTCACAATTGGCAACACTGTTGGAAATACGTGATTTTTTTTTTATATTCGCTCTTCGCGCAAATAAAACGCTGCCAAAAAAAAGGGCAGTGCGAAAATTGAAAGTAGTCAGCATTTTTAAAAGAATTTAATGAAAAATCATTAGTGTATAAATTAAAATTATATATAAATTAAATACTAAAATGGAAGCTCTCATTCCCGTTATAAATAAATTACAAGATGTTTTTAATACCATCGGATCGGACTCAATACAATTGCCACAAATTGTTGTTCTCGGTAGTCAAGTAAGTTTGTGGATGATGCAAAGAAATTCAAAACATGCAATTGATTTTGAGTTTTAAACACAACTATGACTCAGTGTCCAAATATGTTTTGACATAAATATTTATAAATATGGACTGGTGAAAATTAAATTTTTCGCTAACATTGTATAAAATAGTATAATTATATAACTACATATAAAAAAGCCGGCTTAATGTAAAAAATATTCGCGAGATACTAAGTAAACATTAATATTAAATATCGAAAGAGTAAAGTGAATGAATGTCACAATACTTAATAAATAAAATCCTACATAAAAGTCCACTTATGCTTTTATGTAACTTCCAAATTGTGTCGCTTATGAAAAAAATCAATACTATTGTGAAAGGGTTTTTGACACATTCCAACACATGCATTCACGCATTCTACCACCTACCCCCTGTCCGACTTTGCAGCAGAATAAATAAAGAGCATGCCAAATTGTTTATTAAATTTAATTGCAAAAATTATTTATTTTAATTAAGTTAATTAGCTAATTAAATATTTAATATCCTAATTTTTTTTTTTTTTTAATTACGTATAAACTCAAGTAATGACTGAACCGACTTCTTTGAAAATGTGAAGCTGTTTGGTACCGAAGTGCGAAGCTCAGTTCTCAGTTGCTTGTTCATTGCCCTACAGTTATATGAAGACCCCTCATTTTGTTGAAAATTTGTTGTATTAAATAAGCATTGTTTGTTTTTATATTTACAGATATTTTATTTATTTCATTTATTATTTTTTTATTAGTTCAAGTCATTTTTATAAATGAATGTCTACAGGCTACGTAAGACTTCGTCTGCGTTTCTGACGTAACAAATATATAAATAAATGTTCGGTTATGTATGTAATCGCTGTGATTTTGTATATAATTGAACTGGTGCCATAAATCAGCGACAGCTGATGTTTTTCTTGCAAATGCAAATGATATATACATAATGCCCTCTGCCGATTACCCATTCTTCTGCACTAAAATCCGCATTCATTGCTTCTGCCGCATCTTTCTAGATGCAGTTAATGTACTTAAGTACAATTACCTTTGCTGCTTTGGTGGCACAAAAACAAGTGTACTGCACTTTGATCGCAAATAAATAATATTTAGATTTTGTTTATTTCAATTTAATTAGTGCTTAAATTACTTAAAACTCAACAATTAAAACGTTTAAAATGTTAAAAGTAATTTAAATGACACCGATAATGTAAGATAACCTCATAGATATTCTTTTTCTTTGAATAGTTACTGTTCACTGAAATATCTTCGATGACCAATATTATTTTGTTATGAATAGGATTAATTCTACACACTTCACAGAACCTTTCGAAATGTTGTACTTGTTTATTGCCTTTTAGAACTAAATCCACCCATCTCCAAACTATTCTAACTCCTAAATAATCCTCTCTTCTCTCTCTCACACTACCATCACCGATTTACATACTAACCCACGTATACGTCTTTAGAATTCCTTTCATGTTATCTGCTATACAGATCCTTGTGGACTACAACAGCAACAGCAAAAGATATGCTAATGACTATTCTATAATCTATTTTACAATCTCTTTAAAGCTACTCATAATAATGTCGGCCATTTAATTTCATATTTCAAAGCACAAACAAAATTGAACCCTTATGATTTTTAGCTTTGTCTTATCGGGTTGTCAAATTTTATTCAACTTGTGTCAAGTTAAGAACCAGTTTAACTTTGACAAATCTTAACCACGCCTTGTTATTATTTTTGTTAACAAAATTGACCTGGAAAGCAATATATGCAAAACTCACACAATAGCATAGAATAAGAAAAGTAAGTACACATAAAATAGGAATTTGAAAAGTGTATATCCTAATTCTAAATTGTGTACAGATAAAGGCATCTTGTCACGTTAATATGGGAGATTCAAAAATCAATGGATCTCAGATCTATTGTATGTACTTACAAACTAAATCAGTTGGGTAACATTATGATTAAACATGGTTTAAAATCACTGTTACACACACTTCTAACCAACCTATTCCATTGTAAAGTCTTGGAACACTTTCAACTACTTCTTTTTAGATCATTTTCTCAGAATACACAAAAAAAAAACTACGCTTAGTGATATTTAGAGTACAATGTTATAGTAATGAGAAATGTGTTGTCATCATAATACTTTATAGTACTAATATCATTTAATTTATAACCTGTCGAAAACTACAAATCTAAATACTTTCATTATTTCCTAAATAACATACTATTATTCTTATTAACTTGGTTGACATATTTCATATATGTTCTGTTTTAGGATATAGTCACATATTATTTGCAAGCATTTTAAATTTATATGTGCACATAAAGAACATATTAAGATTGCCATATTGTCTATAACACAGGAAAGAAATTGTCAAAAACTTCATCGATTAAATGAACAAGCTGAACTAGCGATGTATGTACGCTTTCTATATGAGAATACGAATCTGTTTTAGGTCCAACTACATTACATTTGTTGAGTTAGACAAATTAAATTTATCATATAGACTTCCACATTAATCGTAATAATCAATATCGTTTAACTATATAAATTTTCAGTTTTTTAATTACGCGAAAGGAAATTTGATATCTAAACTTTAGTTGTATGAAATTTGAACATAAGTCCATAAATGACCAAAATCGGGCCACTGTATAAGCAGTTATAAGTCTAATTAAAAGAAGATAAACTTCATATGTATAGGTTTTAAACATTCAACAAAGTGGAGAAAACCGACTGACAATATTCTTAACATATAAATTGAATATCCTTAACTCAAAAATCACTTTAATATTTACGGCAAATAAATTAAATAATTCAAACTCTACATATATACAAAGACCCTAATCATTAAGCAGAATAACCTTAATTCGATGAATATAGAAACTGAAAATTGTTAATGAAAATACTCAATCAGATTACATTATTATCAGAAAGTTTGGACATGAACTCTATTAAGAGTCGTAACCAGCGGTACATAGTCGTTGATTATAAGTGACATCGGAAAGTAGACCCGTGGTAGTCACTCTAGAGATATACGCATCGATTTAATTAAATTTATTACAAAAACAACCGGGTTTACGTTTCGGAGTCACTCATCAATTTCAACGAATAACTGTCCTTCACCACCCTCCAAAAGAACTAGTTCCCTCTTTCAGATCCTCACGGGCTACAACAAAAACATTAAATGAAATTAAAGCCTTGCCAATGCGTTTCTAAGCATTGGAATTAGAAAATTGTTAATTAAGCCGGAACAAATCGAAATGTGACGTTTTCAATAATATATATGAAATGAGATAAGAATAAAAAGATAGTGGGATGTTGCCACCTAACAGTTGAGGCTACATTAAAACTCATAGAGAGATTAACTATCCAACATCATTTCACATGTAGTAAAATGTACGGAGGAGCCTAAGATGGGTGTTAAAATCATAAAAACTACAACATTGGTTCAAAACCCCCTATGAATATAAAGCCAGCCTCAGCGAAGCAAATTTGCTTGTATCTAGACAAAGTAGTTCAAATACCTGAAGAATAGTAAACATAGTAAACGGTCTTAATATGCACCAGTAGTAATAGTAAAGCTTATTTGAGGGACCTGCAAACACTAGTGTGGATTCTATTCACGTTACAACAACAGCATTAAACGCCATAACTAAAATGCGTAACGTTACAGCTCAGTACGAGTTTAAGATTCGTAAATAACATATATTGAATCCTTTAACTCCTAGAAAGAGCATAGGATCGCGAAACCCTTTCCTGTATACTGTTTAAGTAGAACTATGTCATATTGTATATCTGTGTGCTCAACGTTGCATTGATAATCTTTGAGCAATGCTTTACTATCTGTCTTTAGCTTATTTTGTGGAAGAATTGAGAAAATTTTATACCACACATTGAGTAAGGTAATACCATTGTAGTCTCAATTAAGGGTTTTATTGTATATCTTGAGAATAGGTACTATGCCCGCAAATCGTCACGATACCGATAAATAGCCTGCCATTAAAATACGTATTATTATATATTGTGGATATTATATTGTTGAACAACATTTTATAATATCGCTGGGGCAAACTATAATTAGCCTTTAAGCTACTAAAAATATAAATTATATTAATAAATAATAGTACATTAATCTATTTTAACCTAAAAGAATGCAAAATCATTACGGTTACAAAATATAGCCATATATTGTTCGACTTTGTAGACAATCGAACTCCAATAGGAGTAGTGAGCACCATTTTATTGCAGTATACGTCTGACTTTGCGATGTCACCTAATCGCTTCTGCAAACTAATAATATTAATCTTCTTTTTTCTTCTCACGTAACAGACAAGTATATAAAGTATACTTAAAGTATACTAAGTATATAAAGTATAAATACTTTAACTAATCAAATCTTTTTATAAAAGTAATAAAAAAATATATTGTTACAAAAAATATTCCTTTCTTCTCTTTCATAGAGTTCTGGAAAAAGTTCAGTAATAGAAAGCTTAGTAGGTCGCTCCTTTCTTCCACGAGGTACTGGCATTGTCACACGACGTCCCTTAATTTTACAATTAATTCATTGTCCCCTAGAAGATCGGGAGCATCGTTCAGCTGAAAATGGTAAGCATCAATGTTAATTCTGCTATTATAAAACATACATTAACAGATTTCCTGTTGACTTTAGGTACCGCAAATACAGAAGAATGGGGTAAATTTTTACATACGAAAAAGACATTTACCGACTTTAATCAGATACGACAAGAAATTGAAGAGGAAACTGATCGAGCAGCTGGAAGTAATAAAGGCATTTGTCCAGAGCCTATAAATTTAAAAATATTTTCCACACGTGTAGTAAATTTAACACTAATCGATTTACCTGGTATCACCAAGGTACCAGTTGGTGATCAACCCGAAGATATAGAAGCGCAAATCAAAACATTAGTACATAAATACATAGAAAATCCTAATTCAATTATATTGGCTGTAACTGCAGCCAACACAGATATGGCCACTAGTGAGGCTTTGAAACTAGCCAAAGATGTTGATATTGATGGTAGGCGAACATTAGCTGTTGTCACAAAATTAGATCTCATGGACGCGGGTACAGATGCCATCGACATTTTATGTGGGCGTGTCATACCCGTAAAATTGGGCATAATCGGTGTAATGAATCGATCTCAACAGGATATTATTGATAAGAAAGATATTAAAGACCAACTTAAAGATGAGGCTGCATTTCTGCAACGGAAATATCCTACACTAGCCACACGAAACGGCACACCATACTTAGCTAAAACTTTAAATAGGCTATTAATGCATCATATCCGTGATTGTTTACCAGATTTAAAGGTAAATTATAATAATAAAACAAGTAGGCGTTTGTTATAATTTGTTCACTATTAAATTATTTATATTAAGAAAAAAATTTGAAGTTTTATAAAAATAAAAATATCTATCTATTTTATATACAGACTCGAGTTAACGTCATGTCATCTCAATTTCAATCACTTTTGCATTCATACGGCGATGATGTTTCTGACAAAAGTCAAACGCTGTTACAAATTATAACAAAGTTCGCCAGTGCCTATTGTTCGACAATAGAGGGCACTGCTAGAAATATAGAGACAACTGAACTTTGTGGAGGCGCACGTATATGTTACATTTTTCATGAAACTTTCGGACGTACACTAGATTCTATACATCCTCTATCGGGCTTAACTAAAATGGATATTTTAACAGCTATACGCAATGCCACTGGTCCTCGGCCCGCTCTCTTCGTGCCAGAAGTTTCTTTTGAATTACTTGTCAAACGGCAAATACGAAGATTAGAGGAACCATCGTTACGCTGTGTTGAGCTTATACACGAGGAGATGCAACGTATAGTACAGCATTGTGGTAATGAAGTACAGCAAGAAATGTTACGGTAACTATTATATTCTTTTGCTTTTCATTAGATACTACATTTGATTTTTTTTGTTTTTCTTTTGTTTTATAGTTTTCCAAAATTGCATGAAAAGATCATTGACGTAGTTACACAACTTTTGCGTCGTCGTCTGCCTGCAACTAATGTTATGGTTGAAAATTTAGTTGCTATTGAATTAGCATATATAAACACTAAGCATCCGGATTTTCATAAAGATGCCGCTTTGGTACCAAGCCTTCTGAAAACTGATAATATTATTGATCCTTTTGGAATGTCACGCAAATCTAACACTCCACGAGCTTCTAATTCATCGCCGCAAGTTTCGACACAAAGCTTAAATATACAACACCAACAACAGCAGCAGCAACAACAACAACAACACAATGACCATGAACAAGTAAGTGATTACGTCAATATTTTTATATTTATCTTTGTAGATTATTTTAGTTGTAGATTAGTGAGAATTTATCTGAGTTTGATAGTCATTTTCAATAATTGTTGTAATGCTCGTACAATGAAATTCGCTGTTGTATGTTTTTTGATATTGAAATTGATTAGACAACTAATTAAGTAGTACTAACAATTTATTTTGGCAATTGACATTGAAGTGATTAATAATATTTATAAATTTTTCTCTACAAAAGACAGAAGTACAAAAAGTTATATACTGTAAAGTCCGCATTTGCATGAATAGTAAAAGTCTCATAATGATATATAAAAGATAAATAATATTAGAAATAGTAAATTATTAAAAATTAAACTGCAAATTTTATTTAAAATTTCTACTGTGTTAATACCTTTGACTTTATTACTGAGCATTTATTAAATGGCTAACCAAGATTCAGTCGTCTACATATGACATATTGTTCAACCTGCTTGTAAAGTCCCTTTGAGAGATGTTGAACAGCACTTGGTCATCAATGTTAGATAAAGTGATGTTTACGGTAAACATAAACAAAATTCAGGAGTATGAACTCCTGTAATAGATATTATTATCATTTTTGTCCATTAATCTATATCCAAATCAAATATATATGATAAGTGAGAATGCTATATAATTATAATCCTAATATTTAGTAATATGTAAAGACATTGGTTTATCTATAACGATTGGTGACTGAAAGTAAAGACACAACTTAAATAGGAAACGGTTTTTAAACTACATTTTTTAAAATTTTGTCCCGAAAACGTTGAGTCTTGCGTTTTTTCTAACAGAAATTAAAAAACTTAACTGCATCTATAAGAGAAAGATATAAATAAAAGAAAAATAAATAATTTGACCAATAAAATTGCGAATTTTCCTCCCCATTTTCGAATTTAGTGGTAATACGGTCTTTCTTTGATTAAGAAATGTCTTATTATTTATCATTATTGATTTGAGTTTCATACTTTAAAATTATATTGATATATATATAATTATACTCTTCATAATATCGGCTTGCACAACACGGCACCATCCAGCCGGACAGATAGACTAAAATCTAAACCAAAGTTTATTTTTAACGTTTGTTTTTAGGATATCAAAAGGATATTTATATTATAATTATTTTATATTAAGGATATTTATATTATTTTATTATTAATGTTTAAGAACATAATATGCGCTCAATGCAGATATATTATCAACATAATATGTATTATTTCACAATTAAAACTAACTCGCTTATCCTTTTATGTCTAATGAACTTCAAAAATTCATTAATATCTTTTATATTATCTCTATTGACGTTAGCCAAAGTATTCTACTCTTATTTACTGTTCCAGTTTGAAAGACAGTTTATAAGACTATCATTACTACCAAATAGATTCTCAATGGCTTTAAGGATAAAAACGTCTAACAAAAACAACAAGAACTTTCTTGATTGAATTGAGTTTCGGACATATAGTCACATTCTAAAACCTGACCAATTCCAACATATGCTGTAAATATAATTTTTTTCCCCTTGAATTTACCTATCAATTCGTATGACACAGCGCATAAGCCAATTTTGGTCCCACTGAATTGAACAAATTCCACAACCTGAATCCTGGCTAGATTCAAATCATTTCCACTCATCTCTTTTTTTTTATCCTGTTCCAACTATCCACCATCATATTGTTGTTGTAGCCCATCGAATCTTAGAAAACAATCACATTATAGAATAAGTACATATTATATACAAAATAAATAGGAAGGTGTTGTGTAGATTTAATTTTTTATTAATTATAAATATTACTGTTCCTTAAAAGGCTTATGTGTACTTTTTCAATGAAAACCGTGTTTTAGTTTTACTTATATATATATTATATGTATACCTCTTCCCTATATCAAATTTGGCAAAATTTCTAAGTTTTATGGCTTCTTCATCAAGGTGGGATATTGAATAACTAATCTTAACAATTAACATATTAAGTTAGGACAATACTGTAAAAATAATAATTGAATTATATTTTAATAGAAAGGTTTTTTGAACAGTAGTGAATTACAACAACAAAATTCTTATTATAATTTAAATGGATTTTTGGCTGACCATACAGCTATTTCGAGTATTGCCAAATGCTCGTCATCAGTGGTCTTTTGGAATTATTTCTTAAATTTAATTATCGATAAATAACTTTTTTTTAAGTACCAAGGATTGTACTCGTACCCTACCAAATTTAAAGCTCAGAATCAGTGTTTTATTTTAGGAGTTAGCAGTCAGCTAACGTTTATGTATAATATTTAAATAAATAATTTTTATTTTATATAAAATTTAATTATTATTTGAAATAAATTTTGATTAATATTTAACTTCTCACTTTTTTAGAATCACATTTCCGAATCATCATCACATACAAGTAATTGGTTAGCCAATATATTACCACCAGCACCAATGCGTCCCGAAAGCATTGACAGTTCAACCAATAATACACCTATACACACTATTGTTAGTCCAGTAAAACCTGTAAACTTATTACCGGATGTACCGGCACATCACAATTCGAGACGTTTAACAGATAAGGAACAGAAGGACTGTGATGTTATTGGTAAGATTTTTAATCAAATACAATTAAATTCAATATTAATTAATATTGCATTATAACTAATCATCTGGTCTCCCTTACAGAACGTTTAATCAAATCATACTTTTACATTGTACGCAAATCCATACAAGATTCAGTACCAAAGGCTATCATGCATTTCTTAGTTAACTACGTTAAGGATAATTTACAAAGCGAACTTGTTACACATTTGTATAAATCAGAAAAGGCCGAAACTCTACTTAATGAATCCGATCACATAGCGGTGCGCAGAAAAGAAGCTGCCGATATGTTAAAAGTAATTAATTGCTTCTATTTACCATATATCCTTTATATGCTATATATATATTATATTTCTTTCAGGCACTTACAAGAGCAAATCACATCATTAGCGAGATACGTGAAACTCACATGTGGTGAAGACAGAATAATCATTAACCGCCTTTGATTTGTATTAAGCATATTGGAATTTTGTATTTATTATTTGCCTATTAAAATCAACTCCCAACAGCAACAAAATATTTATATTTTATATTAGATTTTTGTAAAAACCATCAAAATATTCTTTAAAGCTTATTAGTGCATGTCAATAAAATTTTTTTTATCTTTTCAAGTTGATGTGTAAGTGGTAATTTAACTTTTAGATACATTCATTCAGCACGATAAACGATAAAAAATAAAAACATGAACTAAACATTATTAAATATTTCTTTAAATAAATTTTTTTTATGAATTGCATACAAATTCAAAATTGAAACATTTATTTAAAAAAAAAAACATGTTTATTAAATTTTCTTTATTTGTGCAAAAAATACTTATTTCATGTTTTCGTATTTATGGTGTGCTGTTTTTAAATAGAAGAAATTTATTAAATGTATTCAACTGTTAACAAATGAAGCAAGAAATTCTTATCATTGTTACATTCAAATAAAACTGTAATTTTAATCTTTATATATACAAATTATTTTAATGAATTGTTTTAATATGTTAGCGTTAATAAAACAAGCTGTCAAATAAATATTTAATATATTAAATAAATCTATGAAGAAAGTAATATTTTATATTAAATAAATTTAATATTAAAATTATCTTAATAAGCTAATTGAATTTGATATGTTAAATATTTATCTTTCAATTTTATTTGCATTAATAAAACAAATATAAATTAATTTTACATTATTAAGTTATTTTGTTATTTGTTATGAATATAACAATTATAACTTTAAAGAAAAAGTATTAAATTTATATAATATTATTAATTTTTTTACTACGAAAATTAATAATTATTAATACAATTTTATTTTTAATTACAAAAATCAATAATTATTGATGTAATTTTATTTTCTATTCTATTTTTTATTGTTAAATCTTTTTAGTAAATAGGTTTCGAATAGTGAACTACAACAACAAAAATTACTTCACTATTATTTCAATTATGGCTCTGAGCTTCAAATTTGACAGTGCACAAGTTCAACCCTCGATACCTGCAGTCTTGAAAAATTATTTACCAATAATTAAATATTAGAAATAATTTAAACATCCACTGATGTTGATATTTGGCAACAACAACATTTTTATTGTCAGCCAAAAATTCACTTAATTAACATAACATAATATATTTGTTGTAGTTCACTACTTTTCAAAACCTCTCTATTAAATACCACAGTTTCTTTTAAAGTAAAAATGGTAACTACTGTCATAGTTACGATTTCTATCAAAGCAAAAATAGTTACTACTGTCGTCATAATGACGTCAAATACAAAATTTAATATTAAATCTTTTTTATATAAAAATTAAAGGTATTTTATTTAATTTTGTTTTATTGATCGCAATGTAAATATTGAACTTAAAGCAATACAATGCAAGTTAAGATATATATGTATGCGTATCTGTTAATTTATTTTATATAAGTTTTATAAGTTGATATTATTTTGGTATTGTGAAGTAACATAACATTAAATATATGTTAAAATATAAAATAATTATGATAAATATTTCTTGCATTAAAAAACCTGATTAAATTAAAAATATACAAAATTAATTTTATACTTTGAGGTGGATAATAATTTTGGCATTAAAGGAAAGAATTTTAAAGTTTATAATTTAAAAAAAAAATATTTTTAGTACAATAAATTGTTTCATTAATTTTTTTTACACTTAAACAAAATGTTATAAAATTAAATAAATTTGTATAATATATTAATTTTAATATTGAATGTTTTTTAAATATTTATGAGTTTGTTGCATTAAAATTAAAGAAGTAATTTTAAGTTCATTTTTTTTTTTTAAAATTGAATTGTTTCATGAAAGAATTTGAGAAATAATCACACACAAAATGTTACTACTTTCGTAAGCTGTGAATTAAAAAACAAAAACATTTAAAAACAACATCTTATATGAATTATTTAATTTATTATACATATATAAATCTATATTTTACCTAAAAATACATAAACTTAATTTAGAATCATATTAAAGTATATTTTCATTTCATTCTATTTTTATTTATATTTTTTTTTTAATAAATTAATATTATTTTTATAAAGCTTCATTTTTAATTATTAAATAAATGTTATTTTCCATGTGCTAAAATATAAAAATGAGTTCAAACTAAATTAAGTGAGAGACTGCAGTTTGGAATTTATTTGTTGTTGAAGTAACCTAAAAAATATACCAAAAAACGTTGGCACCGCTTTAAGATTTACACTTCTTGCTCTTGAGATAAGAAAAAAAAAATTATAATTGAAATAAAACAATTTAGAAACAATTTAAATGTAGAATATTCATTCCTAAGTATTGAATAGAAAAATGTGTATACACTGAATTATTAATCAGTTAATAACTTAAAAATTTAAAATATATTATTATGTTCAATATGACAAACATTATGCGTAACATACAACATCAACCTTCTGGTCAAAATTTCCAATAAATCCTGCTCTTAAATGAAAAATTTATAATAATACTGTATGAAATCTTCTAATATATTAAATTGATTTTATTATATCCATCAACAATAGCGGACAAAAAGCAACAACTATGGAAAAAAGGGTAATGGAGTTACAGCTGAGTGTGTGATACTAATACAGTAATTCGCGTTGTACCTCATGTTATAGTACTGAACCCTACAAAATATACCTGCAGAAAGGGATGAAGAATTCGGCTAACAATTATTGAGTGATGATGACAAATATAAATCTCAATATCAATCCACACCGGGGAAATTTGTCGTTAGAGTTCCTCATATCCTCATATTTGCAATCTTCAACACGACTATCAAAAGTAAAACAAAATAAACTGTTAAGAGTAGTTTAATAGGTTTACTCCTAGGAATAGGAATAACATTCAACCTCTTATTGACTTAAATTGGATTGTATAGTGATGATTTAATGGGATTAAAGAGATTTATTGGACTCAAAGTTGAACTTTAATAACACATGTTGAGAATCTTTAATTTATCTCCACTAATCGAATCCCAGCAAAGTGTGACACCTGGAAAAGTTAAAACATTAGAAATTATAGAAGAAGTCGAAGTGAGTAATTGTTGAGTATGTATGTATATAATTACATTTTGAAAAAAAGAGAGAGATAGACTGTTGTTGTTGCTGTAAACCTCTGGAATCTGTGTGTGAAAACCCTTTGAGGGGTAGGTAAAATAATGTAGGTTTACCAGCTCACCAAAAGAAAAGTTGAGTAATTGTGGTAGATTAAAAACATGTCGCGAGCCGCATGTGTTCTAAAACTCATGTCAGAAATTGACTAATGGCAGATTTGTTAGAAAGAGCTTGATTCTGCACTCTGTTTTCTATAACAATGACAACAATAATAATAATGTAGAACGAATAGATGTTTTTAACTTTCAAAGAGAGATTAAAGGCAAAAATGTTTCCTATTGTAAACGTGCTTATACAAAAACTATGAAGTATACTTAATATCCTTAGTCACTTTGGTGCCTCTAATAGCCCGTTTCAGTATTATATCCGGTATGTTATCCTTATGTTTCTAGATACGTTTCTTGGATAAAAATAATATTACTATATCCACTTAGTATTAATAAACTTTCAGATACCTTCAGAAGGTTACCGTTTGTAATGTAAATGGGTTCAAAAATTAAAATAATTCAATGTTGATTTTTCTATTATTTTATTTTATAAAGTTTATCAAGAAAAATGATTGATTTTTTTAAAATTAAGCAACTTTAATCATCATAAGTTCAGAACTTAAGTACAAGGACGTAAATTAAAGAATAATGGAATAAAAATATTTATATATATAATAATATATAAAAGAATAAGAATATTTGTATGAACTTTTTTAAGATGCTAAAGAGTTGATAATAAGATACTATATGATACTAAGATTTTTAAAGTGAATGGTTTTTTATACACAGTCTTTTTTTGACACTCTATATCTCATTAAATATTGTAAATGGAAGACTTTTTTATCTCTTTAAAAACCAAAAATCAACTACTGTATTTATAGTACTTTGTTATATCCTATCTCACCACTGATATATATGCACATACTATATATATACATACTTATTATGATTAATAGTTTAATATTGAACACTTAGCTCAATCACATTGCTCGAGCATTGCAGTCTTTTTCTGTATATTTAAATAAATTGTTTGAAACGAAACAACATACAACATATTCTATGTTAACATGTGAAAACTAAACATCTGGGTATAAACTAAACAATTTGAACATTTCAATTATTCGCCCCTAGTATGAATTCATACACTTTAAATATATCAACTAATAGTACATTAGTCACTAACTTATGTACATTAATACTACATTTCTTAGATTTTGTATTAATTTCAATAAAAATAAGAAAATTTGGATTAAAAATGTTATTGTATTTAATTATTTCTTTTAAAAAAAATGCATTTACATTTCGAGAGTACACAAAAAAATTAAAAAATTATTTTAGAACTTTTCACTGACGAAAAGTTTACATTAAGATTTATAAAAAAAAACTCATGAACACTTTAGTACCTTTGAAATGGACCAAATAAATGTGTGGTATACAAAAATTCAAAAAAAAAAGATTAAAATTATACTTGTTTAATACGTTTCAAAGAATGTAAATGCTATGGTAAACACTAAAGTGTACTATATTCTCAATGTTGTCTTTTATTTGCATATTGCTCCATAATGTTGAAAATAGTTTGTTTTTGGCGTTACCTCCAAGACGATAGTGGTTTGTTTTATGCCCGATTTGTATCTGACAATACACGTACAATACAACCTACACCACCCTTTGCAAATGCTTTTTCATGCCATTGCAGCAGATGACCGCTTGAGCCCTCCGATGGAATTTCGAAACCACGATATATATATTTCATTAACACATCTAGTAGATCATGTTGTTCTAGTGTATCCACTGCTTGATCCATTTGTGAAGATTTAATTGACAATAAAACTCGTAATGTTAAATTGAGGGCGTGGTCCTTAAAAGATTATAAACAATTAACATGCGTTGAGATAACAAAAAAAGTAAAAGCATATTACTTACTTTTACATGTTGTTGCTTACACCGGAGCGGTGCATTTTGTAATGCTGCAACAAGCGCTTCAACATATTTTCCTTGTGTTAGCAATGTAGTGATCTCAGTCTCATCAGGACCTAGGACGACAGTTGTTACACCATCAGCTTCGTCTTCCTTGAAGTTGTCCTCATTATATTGGTCAACATCAATTTTACGAAATGCTGAACTCGATGTATTTTTTGCCATTATTTGTTTTACTTACTCGAAACTTTTTTAAATGATTTTTTTAAATTTATTAACAGAATAAAATGTTTCACACCACACCGCGAATTCCAATCAATTATCAGTAGTGATTCACCATCTTGCGTTAACAGCTGATTCACATGTTAAATGTCATTTAAAGTGAAAACAAAATACATTGAAAAACTCCATCCCGCTTGGCTTATACCTATTGCCCGAATCAAATGAAAACTTACATAATTATTTATGTATAAAAATTAATTAAAATTGTGTGTAAACACATACACATAAAACTATGTAATTAGTTTAAAAATTTAAAAAAACGAAATATACAAACAATTCCCAAGCAGAGATACTTTTCCATATTTTGAAAATGACATTTCGTCTGGAATGTTTTTTTCTCATCTTCCAACCTCAACACAGCTGTTAGCTGTCAAATTGCCACTCAACGAATAAAGGTAGTAAAGAGGAAATCAAAATAAATTTGCTTTAAACAATTTTATTCGATTTGGATATTAAATTTTAGTTATTTGTTTAGGCAAAATGGCTAAATATGTCGGTATCAACCGCTTGGGTAAGCTTTTCCAAATCATACGAGAAAATGGTGGTGTACGTGCCAGTTTAGCGAAATTATTTAGGTAAATCCAGAAAAATTACATTAGCTTATATAAGCGAATCAAAGTTTTGACAAAATTTGTTCAAATTTTAATTTATAAATGATAAAATACACTTCTTATAGGAATGATGAGTTAAAGACTGGCACTTTAGTCGGTGTCGATAAGTATGGCAACAAATATTTTGAGAATCCCTACTATTTCTATGGCAGAAACAGATGGGTTGAGTTTACTGAACATGTAAATTTAAATTATGATGGTTCTCAAATACCTGCCGAATGGTATGGCTGGATGCACTACAAGGTATACAAATTAAATCTGATGTTGCTTTTCTAATTCTATATAATAATTATTCACTGAAATTAATTTTATTATGTAAAACATTTCCAGACCGATTTGCCACCAACCCGTGACGGTAATCGCCCGAAATATGAATGGATGGCAGATCACAGTGAAAACTTATCAGGAACAAAAGGTTTGTATTATTTTAACTAAAAATTCCATAAATGATTTCTGCATGTTTAATTCAACTGCAAAAATATAACATTTTTATATGGAGCTATATATGTGCTTCAATTCAATGGGTTGTCGGTTAACTGCAGAAGTAAAGCATTTTTATATGGAGTTAAATGGGTGATTCAATTCAACGGATTATCGGTTAACCGCAAAAATATAATATTTATATATTTATATTAATATTTATATAAGGAGCTATATGCTATAGCTGCTTCAGTGGCGTAACTACATTTTTTAGGCCCATAAGCGAATTATAATGAAGGAGCTCCTACTAATATCTTTTTATACCCTTTACACGAAAAAGTGTAAAAAAGGTATATTAGGCTTGTGAAGATTTTCGTATCGTCTGTTTGAAGTCTGTTTCAGTATCTGAACAATGTGTCAATTTATTCTGTGTATCACAATTAGCAAAGGCATTATTTAAATCGTTTATTCCTTCAGTTTTGTTTTCATTTATTTTAAGAAAATTGTCTAGTTTTGGTAATTTCTTTAATGTTAATAATGAATGCATAAATTTATAATGGGGCCCCCTAAGTTCGGGGGCCCGAAAGCGCTGCTTCCAGTCGCTTCCCTGTAGTTACGCCACTGAGCTGCTTTAACTCAATGGGTTGTTGGTTAACTACAAAAGTATAATATTTATGTATGGAGCTATATAGGAGCTTAATTACAAAAATTATTATATGCAAAGAACATCAATATGATTTCATATATTCATAAATTTGAGTTAAATTTATTTTAACTTTATTTTATTTATTATGATTTTGCTTTAAAAACACATTTACAACTGCTTTATAGTAGCAGGTTTATATTCCGAAGTCACTTGTAAACAATATTAAAATACCGCTTACAACTTATATCGAAGTTCCGTCAATTGTTAAAAAAGAGTCATAACAACAACAAAATCGCCACGTCTACTTGCATTGCAATGTCCCCGTTTAAGTGTTTATAATATTTCAACAATATTTTTTGCCAATCGTAATTTTATTTATTCGTTTATTTGCCATTTGAATAAACTAACATATTTAGTGGACTCTAAAATCGGCTTACTTTTTCCAATTAAAAAGATTTTGCCTTTACATATCTCTTTTGTTTAAGCAAATGAAAAGTGTAGCTAAAAGTGGCGCTATATGGCTATAGCTAATTTCTAGATGGTGTACATAGTTATATATATATTTTTATTATCTCTTCTATTTTTATTATTTTTAGAACAATACATGCCGTTCACCACAACTCGCCCCAAAATTGAAGCTTGGAATCCAAATAATGGCAAGAAAAATTAAGGAATGATCGAGAAAAGTGTAGAATAATATTACTAATTAACAAAATTTACTTTATTTCCAAGAAAATAAAGATCAGTTTTATTTTAAAACGTTTGTTTTTATTTAATTTATTACTGTTAATAAGAAATATATATAACATAAATTTAAAATTCATATAATCATTTATGGATTTACATATTGAAAGTAATTCTTAAATATGTCGAAATAAATATAGACATATAATATATATATCTAAAGCACGAAATATAACTCTTTACTGATTTATGAATTAATAGCAATATTTACATAATTCGAAAATAGACATAACAATTTATATCTAAAATACATACAATAGCTCTATGAATTTTCTATCTATTTAAAAACAATGTTTATATAAATCGAATATGCATATACATATATATATAAACAAGTAATATTATCAATATTATTGTTATGACAATATTAGTTTTAATGTTTATGAAAATGAATAGCAATGTTTGCATAAACTGAATATATATAATATAAAGATGTTTTCAGAACAGATAATATAAATCTATATATATTTATAAATCAAAAGCAATATTTACATTAACTGAATTTAAAATAAAAACATCTCTAAAACATATAGTATAATATTTCACAGATATATAAAATAAAACGACATTTACATAAATCGAATGTAGATAAAACATATATCTAACATACATAATATAATATTTAACAGATATATAAAAATAATATCGATATTTACATGAATTAAATGTAAACACAAAAAGTTATTAAAATTCAATATTTTAAGCGTTGATCCTAAGCAACGATCTATTGACATTATTATACCGGGTACATATTAACTTCAAGATCGTTCTTCTATGCATTAGTAGTTATATTACATTTTTAATCAGATAGTAGCATGTCCAATTGATTTTTGTTTGAACGTGGACAGCCACGAAATGTTGTATTTATATTAGATTTGTATTTAGTAGATTTTAAGTATTTACTTATTATTATCGTTATTCATTTGTTTAAATTTTCGTTTTAGAACATTGTGTTCTTCATTATTAGGCATTACAATACATTCATTGTGTTCTTCATTATTATGTATTACAAGGCATTCATTGTGTTCTTCGTTAGAAATTTTTACACATTCATTGTAACTGATATCACTTGCATTTCCACCATAGTAAATAATATTATCTGTACCGAATTCGCGATCCATGTTTGATAATGATATATATATGCTATTATCACTACTGTTAGGGGGTTCAAAATGATTATTTAATGGTCCTGATAGAGTTTGTGATACATTGGTTGATTGTAATGATGTACTTTGCTTAGGCAGCACTTTACTTTCAAGTGATTTGGAACTATCATTTATTTGGTCAGATGCGTTTTCTAATAACCAATTACTTTCCGTGGTCAACCAGTTACCATTGGGGGCATTATGCGATGTGGAACTATCGTGTAGCGGATGGGATGCTGTTTCTGATAAATAGTAGTTTGTTAGTAGTGAATTGTTTGGAGTAGTCAGATAATTACTATCGGGCGATACGGGAATATGTGGTGATAGGCGTGGTGTTGTGTGTGCTAAATTTAATATTAAAGAGGAATTGCTTTCACTATCTGATAAGTTATTATTACTATGATTATTAAAAGATCCATGCCCATCAATTCGAGTACTGGATATTGCTTGTGATGCATTGCTTTTAAGAGATGAACTGCTTTTTGTTGTCAGCAAACTGTTATTGAGAGATTCTGATATTAGTGACGAATTGCTATCACTATCCATGAAGCTAGTATCGTTGTCGGCATTAAGAGATGCAGACCTATCACTAAATGAAACATATGTTGTTTGTGATACATTGCTTATATCTGATGAACTTCCAGAATTGTATAATACTGGACGCGATGTTGTTTCATATACATTGCTTATTGATTGTGTATAATTTTTGTTAGCCATCACACTCCAATAACGTGGATCAGAATTTTTGCTTAATGGACGGTAAGCTGTTTGTGATTCAATGTTTGTTAGTATTGGACTATTTCCTTTAGCTTCCAATACACTTTTGCATACTTCCACACCTAACGCATTTCCAATCTCACGTAATTTCTTTATTAGATCGGATTCTTTTTGTAGTATGTTGTCCATCAGTGATGAACTGCTTACCGTAACCTGCAAGCTGGTATTTGATAATATACAACTATCACTAACTGAACTGTCTACACTGCTTTGGATAACAGACATTTCACTATTACGTTTCTCAGCTAAAGCTTTGGTAAGCACTAATAAGTCTTTTCTGAACGATTTGTCTTGCGACTTCTTTTTCTTTTTGAAAAATTTAATTAAGTTCTCCTGGGATAATTGGTATTCATAATGACTTTGTACTAAGTTTGCAAAACTTTCCAAAAGATTTGCATAGCTCGTAGTATCAACGGCAATAACACCAGTATTTAAAGCCATTACTAATTCACGGTTCGTAGAAATTTTTATGATTTTAATAAAATATATTAATTCTAATCTAGCTGGTTGAACCACGTTACATATATTTACTGTTATTCCAACGGTTATTTCTTTGAAAAATGTTCTGTTTTATCAGCTTAACGACATTGCCAGATAGACAAAACGGAACTATTGAGAACAGTGAAGTGTCGCATAGTTTTAAGTGAAAAGTAATCATTTTATTACTGGAACATATGCTACTATATTTATGCGAATCTTAAAATCTTTTTTAACACAAATTGTAGAATCAAGAATACTCACGCATGGAAGGGCAACGTAATGTCAATATTCATAGACATCTTAACTCCTCAACAGTTCATGAGGAAACTAAATGACAAGCCGAAAATTATTCTAACCGGCTCCAGAGACATATAGACAAAGAAGCTAGCAGACTTCTCAATAACACAGGCCTACTCCGACTTCTATTCCGACTTCAATGAAAGAAGCCACACGATCTAATTGTCAGTTAACTTAAAGTAAGGGTTTTAAAAACCTTACGAATTACTCGTTAGTTTTCATGTAACTAGTTGTAGTGTTAACACCCGTTGTTATGTACAACTCCGACGTAGCCGTTCCCAAACCCGACTGAAAACGAAGGAGGGAACACGACCACCTAGTCTGAATAGCTTTTGAACACCCTAGCAACGCAGGAAGTAGGTGAGGACAAACAACTCTTTCAGAACCCGTAACAAATATGAATCAAAACCACAGCAGAACTATTTCTCCACGGTGTAATCGGTTCACGGCTAATTCCACATCGGATCACCGTAATAACCTAACCTAATTGCCATATAAGCTGATTATTCAGATATACCATATTTTATAAAAAAAATTTTGTTTATTTAATAATTAAACGTACAATAAACATTACTAGCAATAAAAATTACTGACCAAATAATATTTTAATTAAGGTTCTATATAAATTCAATCATTGATATTTTCAAAATTGGTACCAATCAGATATTTTTATTCACCAATGCAACCGGCTGGTTCTAATAAGCCCACCTTTTTGTACACAATTCTGAAGAATATGGAATTAAAACAGCTTTTATAGCTAATTGCAGTTGCTTCATGACAATATATACCCGAAAGTCATCGTTTCTATATATTTAAGCATTATCAATAGAACCTTTCACTACCAATTACTATTGTGTTTTTTTATAATACAATATTAATTTATACACTTTTATTATATATACACACCGATGATGGGATCGGAACCTTTTTGTGGACTAGGATATAGTACGTTCCTTTCTCTCATAAAAATAAAGGAGAACTCGAATAAAAAGGATTACTGATACTGGATGATATACAATCCAAATCACTTATTGGTAACTATAACAATAAGAGAAACCCGGATTGTTTAAATCTATGAAAAGAAAAACTTAGAATCATCACAGGAATCCTAACAGGGCACTATAAACTAAAATACCACCTTATAAGACTTACGGGTATACTTACGGATGCAAACTGTAGATTCTGTGAAGAGAATGAGGAGTCGTCCACACATGTGCTGTTAGAATGTCCCGCGCTAATGCACATACGGAATAGGCTACTAGGAATGTATATTCTTACCGAAGAGGCAATAAAACTCTGTAAAGTAGGTTTTATACTACTTTTTATTGACGCAACGGGACTTAGAGACCTACTCTAAACCCAGAAGGAGGCACAATAGACGCGACGGTCACAGTGCCACATCCCCTAACAATGTACTCATATCTCATATTTTTTGGAGAACAAAACAAACTCAACTCAAGGATTTATAAGGTCAAGACTTATAATAAGATTAAATAAAAAATTATTAAAAAAAAAAACAAAATCAAAACAGTATAGAATATTTTGTTAACAGAATTAGTTTAATTTTTACTTTTATTCTTACACTTTTATTTAATAAATAACACATATATAATACATATATAATTATAAAGTTTATTTAATACATTACTCACATTTAAACTGAAACTTTTAATTACATGAATAACATACATATATATGTGTGTATATAAATGTATATATATAAAGCTAAAGTAAGTTATATCATTTTATGTTCTCTAATCAAGTATATAAGTTCGTTAAGATATAAAATAACTCGATTAATCCTTTATGGACATATAAATAAAAATCAATATGAATACGAATGATCGATCTATTGCGTTTGTGACGCCTTAGCTATAGCTAGTTTCTTATATTTTATACGAATAACACTGCATTTTTGGTTGATAGTAACACGTATTTCACGCTCAGTAGCTTTTGACATCACCATCACGCAATGAGTGATATCAGCTACTGTATCTGGATCCAATTTTTTAAATATTTGACGTGGGAGATCCCCAGTCCCTGCTCTCTGAAATCCACTTAGGGAATGTGTAGCTAGCGTTTCCTCACCGAAAATTAGTACGAGCAGTGCACGTGTTGCATTTGATGCCGGTTGCCAAATTATTCGCTCAAATGCACTTCGTTTTATTTCTGTACCATTTGGTCCAATAACAACAAAATGTCCACGTGTTGTATTTTTGAATTTCGGAAAATGATATTTGTCTTCTTCATGCATTTGAAAATATTTACGTTTCAAAATATTGTAGTCATTTCTCGTAGGCCACTCATATTTATTACCCGCTAATAGTAAGGCTGTATCGAGTTGCCGTTTGTCATAATTAAGGCAATGCGGATCTACATTAAATTCTTCACAGAGTTCCGTAGCTAAATAATTTTCATTGTCATTTATCTGTAAGTGAGTATCTCTTACGTAATCCATAACGTTCGTATTGGATTGCCCGTAATTACCCATTGATGATTGTAATACATTTATTGTTGGTGATAAACTAGTTTCTCCAGATAGCGAGCTACCATTAGACGATATGGAATTAACTCTGAACGAGCGAGATGGATTTTCTGATGATTTTGCTGTTAGTGATGGACTGCTTTTTTGGGATAGCACGCTGCTCTGTGGCGAGTTGGAATTTAAACCCCACAAACGCGATGCCGTTTCAAATAAATTATTAAATTGTGATGAGTTACTTTCCAAGTCATCATTATCGATTTTATATAATGCGGAGCAATCTTCAAGCTGATCGACTGGATGTGATAAGTTGGATGATGGACTAGGTGATGGACTGCTTTTCCTGGACAACAAACCACTACTAGATGATGTGGAATTATCTATTAACGATTGTAATGCAATTTCTAATGAATTTGTCGTCGACGATGGACTGCTTAGATTGTTACTATTATAAGATACGGCACTATCTCTTAGTAATTGCAATGCACTTTCTGACAAATGGGTTGTTGGTGATGGACTGTTCTCCCTGGACTGACAGTTCCTATTAGACGATTTAAAATTGTTTGCTAAATAGGGAAATCCAATTTCTGATAAATTGGTTGTTGGTGATGGGCTGTTTTCTTCAGACAACAAGTTACTATGTGGCGATTTAGAGTTGACTTCTAATGAACACGGCATTATTCCAAACAAATTATTTAGTAATACAGCATTATTTTTCAAGTCTTCATCGTTTAACCCTTGCAGTGTAGAGCTGTTTTCAGATGAATGGCATGGTTTTTTGAATAAATTATTTGTTCGTGATGGACTGATTTCTCCAGACACCAAATTATTACAAGACGATTTGGGATTGACCTTTAACGAATGCGATGCAAAACTATTTTCTATGTCGTCTATGTTGACATCACCTAATATAGCACTATCTTTTAATATATCGGATGAAGTATGTGAAAAATTGTTTGGTTGTGATGTAGTGCATTCCTTATCCAGCACTTCAAGGGATTTGGAATTAATTTCTAATTGGTGTGCCTCAGTTTCTGATAAATTATTTAATAGTGATAAATTATCTTCCGTAGTCATCAAGTCAGTATTGCTCATTTGATGTGAGCTATTATTCATTTTATGGGCTTTAGTTTGTTGCATATTGATTTCAAGTGATGGAGTGCTTTTCTCAGACAGAATGTTACTATCGGGCGATTTTAAATTAGTTAAAAGAGATAATTTATATTGAGCCCTCAAGTTATCATCGCTATTAAGTAGTTTCAATAAATTGGTTGCCTCTATTAATTTTCTTTTCTGATCCAATACAGCATTGTTATATGCTTCAGTGCGTTTAGCTCTATCAAAGTTCAATAAGCTACTCTGATTTAGTGGGTAAGCCAAATTATCTCCATTATTTTTTTGGTACAATTTTTCCGAATACTCCATATCGATTTTTTTCAACAGATTCATATTGAAGTGTTTAAGTGGGTCGTGGTGCTCTAACGTATATGTCATATGTTGAAGTAGTTCAACATAATTTCTATTCCATTCGTTCGTATTATTCACAGGCTTACTATTATTAAACTCAAACAGCAATTTACTTAAATCAGACATTTTAACGAAATTATTTTGTTAATTTTTTAAAATTTGCTCACCAATTCACACTATACCATGTGTTCAGTTATTATTGCGGGTTATAAATAATATGTTTTTAACATGAGTTGCACATATAACGGCTATATGGTATTACCAGTTAAAACTTATCACAAGTTAGAACTTTTGAACATTGCAATAATAAAAATATTTTATCATTTATCTATGCTGTGGAGTACTCGAAAGGGGTTACGATTTAAGATCCCCTAAAATATTTAACATCATTTTACATTAGACGTAATTAATTTTTTCAATTAAATGTTTATAATCTTATCTTAGTATTTTATTCCAAATTAATTCCAAACAAATATTATATAATAATAGTGAAAATGAGAGAGCAACATTCTAGACAAAGTCTAACCAGTGTAGAAAGAGAGTATTAAAGAGATTTGTAGTTTGCATCTTAACGAGGCGTGAAGTATATAATATAAAAAAAATCCAAAAATTATTATTAAATTATAAAAAAAAATATATTAATAATACAATTAATATTTTTAATTATGTGTAGGTTAGATTAGGGTAATTTGTACCAGCGCTGCAAAGGGATACACTTCGGCCTATAAGCCCATTGCACTACCGTATAAGAAAAAAACTCAAAGGCTTATAATCACTTTGAACAATTGGCAAAGCTTATAATACTATTTAAGGAGAGATCTTGCAGTTAAACAAAATCCTCAAAAAGGGAAAGCCATCAAAGTGGTAAGACGGCACCGTTCATGTGCCGGACAAAAACAAAACAGATGGGAAGCACTGTCACAAGCAAGATTCATTCTTCTAGCATAATTATCTAATCTGCAATGATCACAGCCTAACACCAGACTAATATCTCTATGAGGTATCTCAATTGATAACATGTAATTCAATGCAAATATGTGTTATCGGATTGTGGTTGTTACCCACCCGAACACTCGAAAACTGCTAATTACACAGTTCTTGACCAATCGCTTACTATTTAGGAGTTGCTCTTTGATCTTAAAGTTGGGAAAAACTCAATTTTTTTTCCATATTTTTAATTTATTTGGTCCCAACGCATGTTTTTTTAATTTACAAATTTAATAATCAAATTAATACTAATATATTACGTATTAGTTTTTAATATGATTAAATTCGGCTTACAATTTATCTCTTCAAAGTTCTATAACTCGAAAACTAACAGTGGAAACACAGTGGAAAATATTGTTCGAAAAAGTTGTGTTTTTAAATGCGCATACCAAGGAAATCGGAATTCATCGCGTATGTATGTTGTTACCCGTTGTTTGTGTTATATGCGCTTACATTCGAACATACAACTCTTGCTCAAGTCTAGCTATTACAGATGACAAGATGATAATGTAATATTTACACTTTATTTAGCACATGAGAATATAATATTTGGATTCGGATTATTTGGATTGGATTGGATTGAATAACTTTTAGTTATTTAAAGTTTGAATTGATTTGTGTTTGAACTCGAAAAATTTCGAACATAATACGCTCTTACATTCGAACATAAAACAAAACTATAATGTGATATTTACTCTTTATTTAGCTCATGAGTACATATCATTAGGATTGCTCTAAACTTTAAGTTATTTAAAGTTTGAATAGATTTGTGTTTGAACTCGAAAAATTTCGAACATAACATGGGTTTCCAGCATATGCTGTTATACATATTTGTATAAAATATAATAACAATTAAATAAAATAGAAAGAAAATGTACTGTTCGAACTCCTCAACGTTCGAACATTAAAAATGATCGATCTTAATATGCCGATTCGAATATACTTGAGTTGCTCGAACACTTTGAATTCCTATCTCAAATACATCATAGTAAATATTTTGATGAAGACTGCTGTGAAATAGATAATTATTATATTTGCAGAATATTGGATGCGTCCTATAGACGTCCTATAGTAGATAATAGAAAATTAAAAAAATTTTTTTTTTGCAATAAGTGTGAATGACAATTTATTTATTTTGTTTTGTTTTACAATTTTTGTATTTGTTTCATTTATTTATAATTTAAAACCGAATATGAATACGAATGTATGTATATATATAATATTACATATAGCATTCATATATGTAATACATATTCACATAATATTAAAAAATCAAGATTGTGTCATAATTATGTATTCATTTAACATGTTATCAAGAAATATATAAACATGTATATTTATATATATATTTACAGTCATATACATAAATACATATATTTATATTTTTAAATTCTCTTTATAGCAATAATTACAATCAATTAATTAATAATATTACATTTATAATTAAAACAATTACAATTTGATTTATATGGTCTGATATGTATATGGCATGTATAAATATAATACAATATATGATATATATAACATAATTAGGTACGACCATATTTACATATACAATATATTCAATTATCATTTTCAACATATATATATATTTATATATATATATATATTATGTCATATTAAGCACATTAAAAAGTTAAAAACAGCTTCTTATCTGTTAAGGCTAATACTAACATCCATTTCGCACAATGGATGTTGAGATTTTGTGCGAAATTAAATTGGATATTAGTAGGTATTGGCACTAGGGTTTATCATTATACATATAAACATATACATATGAGTACTATTTCTAAGTCGTGTTTATAACTATAGATATATGTGTATTTTAAAATAATTATTTTATACATAATATAGTCTTAATTTTATATATATTACATATATATATAATAAAACATATTATGTTTATATTAAATTATATTTATATATATAATGCAATATATTATATTTATATTATATTACATTTAAAAATATAATAAAAAATAATATATGCATATAATACAAATAAGTACGATCATATTAACATAGACGTACGTATATACCTAAGTATAAATTTATTATTACGAGTATTTTATTATTGAGGACATTCAGTTTTCACAACATTGATTTCTCTTATCAACCATATCTTCAAATTAAAAGATATTTGTTCTCACAAATTTCCTTGGCTTATTAGAACTCTAATTTCTTGATCTGTTCCTGCAAGCCACTGCGATACTGTTCAAATTTACTTACAAGTAATTTTTCCATACCTTTTACATAGTTTTTCTGAAAATTTCAAGCAAATAAAATGTTAGATATATAAATTAATATATAAATAAATATATATATATATTTACATATTGTAAATAATCGTCGCTTAGAAATGTTCGGATTTTTTTAAAAGCAGTCCGCAGTTGAAGAAAGTTACACGTTTTCATAATTATCGAAGCCTGGTAAAGTAAGGCACTATGTGATACAAAGCATAGAAGATTATCATATACATCCGGAGGAGTGAAAATAGTTTGATCCTTATTAAAAATCACAAAATGTACTTCATTTTTTGTGGTCAAGTAATGTACAAGCACCCATTCTTTTACGGATGGAATTTCTTCTTTGATGCGTGGAACATCAAGATCGAACATCTGTAATTATATTCAATTTTTTTATTAATAATTATAACATAAACATTCATAAATATTTATTTACTTTTTGTAAGCATGCTATTTCTACTTTTTTTAATTCTTTTAATGCATCCTTGTAATTATTAACAGATTTAAGAATGTAACCAGGTCGAAGAAAACGGTTATCACGCACAAATACTTCTTCCAAAATTATTTTCTTTTCCTCCACATTACTAGCGAATATTAAATCTTTAGCATTGATGACAGCAAATGATATTCCAGTATCCTTAAAATTTGTCTGATACATAACTATTGCCCATCTATTCTTTAGGTCACCCATTTGTATAATTTCGCTTTGTTTTCTTTTAATACTCTGAAATGGAAAGTTTTTATGTACGATACTTAAATACATATTTATTTACATTTTGATAATATAGCAAAAAAAATTTTGAACTAATTAGGTCCACTTTCCTATTATTGATTAATATTTTCTTAATAAATAAAATTTATATTTAATGAGATCGGCGACTTTTTGAGAAAGAGAGTTACAGTTGTGATGGGCCGAATATAACTCCTACAGCACAGAGAAGTCATCTTTTAATTAGAAAATATCAAGCTGTTGTCTCTTGAGAACATTATTGCAGTAAAAACATGGTCTTAAAAAATACTATTTTTCAATATGAAAAAAGAAAGCGTGTATACAATAATGGGAAGTCTATAATTTATTACGTAATGGAACTGGGAATGTTTTTCTTACTCGACTGTAGAAGTGAAACTGAAGATTATTGATCAAGTGACCGGCTCTCTTTTCTCTTTAAACCGTTGAATGAATTAATAAATCTTATTTTGTTAAAATACTTCTTTGTGTGATATTGTTTAACTAGAGCTAATAACTATTTAAAATATCTATGAAAGTCTTCTACTTTCATTATGCACAAAACTTATGCGATGTTTACACTGGCTACACTTAGGTAGGATTTTCCTGTTCAAATGCAAATACTAATTATTTCCGAATTTTATATTCAAACAAATATGTTATGTGTGTCTTAGTGAATAAGTGCAATAGAATAACACAAAGTCTCAAACTTGCCATCTCCATTCAATTGACCTTTGGACCCACTTCATTAAAGTGACCAGATTTCTTCATCTGGAGGCAGGTTAACGTTAAATAAAGTCCAACCCATCCTCATTCCCTCCACCATCACCACAAATCACTACCCATCCACTTCCCTATCCATGTAATCGTCGTGTGTATCGTTTCTAGTTATCTGTTTACAGGTCCCAGCGGGTTACAACAACACCAACTAAACTGTCTGATGATATTACTCCAGATATTAAGTTTTAAATTTTCGAAATTTTAGATATATAAAACTGTGTGACAAAAATTATATTAATTATATTTTTCTCTTTTTTGAAGACCAGGACACCAAATTATGAAACAAATCACTTGGGTGTGTTCGCGTTGTAGTGGAAGGTAGAATGTCAATGTGCGGAGCGGCGACTGTTCCGAAATACCTGTAAACTTCTAATTATAGTTGTTTTGTGTTGGTGTGTTTTGGGTTGTAATTTTAATTATATTATTTTGTAATTTGTTTTTGAATTTGTTACACCCGGGTAGATGTATTTAAATCCACTGGAGATGTGTTTTGGGTATAGGACTATACCCACTGAGCTAATTGGCAACTGAAGGTCTGGACACCAAATTATGAAGTAAATATCTGTTTACTGAGCTGATATTTACAACCCGTTTTATCTCAGCTATCTGGATCTCTAGCAATAACAGGTTAAAGCTCAAAAAGGTTTAATAAAAAATTTTTATTTTAAGAGACACGAATTTCGTGTTTGAAGAAACTTGCTATGAATAAATAAATAAACATTTTTCTTTAAATATTATTGGAAGGTAGTTTCCATCTCAAAAATAGATTTTCTTCAATTCAATTTTTAGACAAAAACTTTTCATATATATTTAAAGAATCCCACTATTTGGCAAAAGAGAAAGGGAATTTAGAAAAGTATGTCTGAGGCATTAATATTTATTTATTTATTTAAAGCAAATTAACTGAAGACTAAAAATTCATATTACTTAAAATAAAAATTTTTTAATAACCCTTTAAAACACTAACTTTTATACCTTAACTCGTTGATTGAAGAATTAAGCTTAAGAGCCCCAAATTAGCATTATTGAGAAATCCTAAAAGAATATTTAGTGTTGGAAAAGGATTATACAATAATGATTATATATACGTACATCAGTACCAAAACGTTTTAAAATTGAGAATATATTCACCATTAAAATAAGCAAATCCTATCTTTAAAATGTGTGTCTATATTATAATATAATAACAGTCTTTTTTATTATACATTATGTATTATTCTTTTAAATCTATAGTTACCCCTTTTTCTAATATCCGTTTACATTCCTCCAATTTGCTCATGCAGTCTATCATTATAGCTGGTCCATAAATTATTTTATATGGAGTTAATGTCGTTTTTGTTTTTGTAACATAAATTTCTCGAGTCTTTGCACCATCATGTTCACTTGTGAAGACTCGAGATATAATGACATTTCCTTTCTGAAATTGTAAATGCATACAAAATGGATTTTTATTAGGAAATCCTCTTAAAACATAATACTTTTCCTTTTCAATTAATGGTTCAAATATGTTAGCTTTTATTTTATTCATTATTGTTTTATCATCAAAAATTGCTAAGCTTTCAACAGCAGTGCAGCTTATAACAGAGTTTTCAATAGCAGCATGAAAAGCGGCAAAACCAAAAGCTGCAGCACTATTATCAGCAACGTTTTCAGCCTTAATAAAATTGATAGCAGCGCTATAAACGGCAGCGCTGTAAGCAGAAGCGCTATAAGCACCTACATAATTAGATGTTGAACTATTAACAGCGATCGTGTTAACAGCAACACTTTTACCAAGACTATCAGTTGCAGTTCTTTTCGTAGCAACTTTATTGGTAGCAATTCCATTAGTTGTAGCTCTATTGACAGCAACGTCGTAATCAGCAGTGCTGTTACTAACAGAATCAAATTTAGCATCAAAATTAGCATCAAATTCAGCATCAAAATCAGCATAAAATTCAGCATCAAATTGAGCAGCAAATTCAGCGTTAAATTCAGCATCAAATTCAGCATCAAACCCATCAGCGGAATAAACAGCAGCACTATTAGCAGTAGTACTAATACTAGCGACACTGTTTGTAGCAACACTTTTAACAAAACCTTCTTTATTAACAACTCCATTGGTTGCAGCGTTATAAGTATCTGCAGAATAAACAGAGGTACCATAGCCAGTAGTACTTTTAGCAGCAGCATTATTACCGGAAATACTAGTAGCAGCAACACTATTTACAGCAGCCTTGTAAGCAGCAGCATTATATATACCAGCACTATTAGCAGCAGTACTGATGCCAACAGTATTATTAACAACACCTTCTATAATAGCAATTTTTTTTGGTACAGCTTTATTATTAGGAACTCCATGAATAGTAATGCTATCAGTAACAGTACTATTTACAGCAATACTATTAGTAGCACTATTATTAACGGTAGTGCTATTAACTATAGTATTGTATTTAGTATCTTTAAAATCTTCGTTAGCAGCGACTCTATTATCAGGTGAACTAGTAGTAGTAATGCTATGTTCAGCAGCAGTATTACAGACATCAGTACCATTACCATCACTACTATTACCAGTAGTGCTACAAGCTTCAACACTATAAACAATAGCATCATTCTTACCAGCTCTATTGGTTGCAATAGTACTAGTAGCATCGCCAAAAAAAGAACCGCTATAAGCAGTAGTACTATCAGCAGGAATATTACTTGTAGCAATATTAGGAACTACAGTCCTTTTGGTTGGAGTAGCACTGGAATCAACAACACTATTAGCATTACTTTTGTCAGAAGTACCATTCGTAGCAATATTATTAACAACGGCGCTATTGTGAGCAGTATTACGAACAGCACTATTATTAGGAGTAGGATTTTTAGCAGCAACTCTGTTTTCCAAAGCATTGTTAGCGAAAATATTAATTATAGCAGCGCTATTCTTAGCAGCATCATAAACAACAGGACTGCGGACAGCTGCACTAAGAGAAACACGATTTTTAACTGCATTGCTATTTGCAGCAATGTTATTAGCAGCAGTGTTATTAGCAGCAGCACTATTAGCAGCAGTGTTATTAACAGTAGCACTATTAGCAGCAGCACTATTAGCAGTAGTGCTAATAAAAGCAACCCTATTGGTACCAGCAGCATTAACAGCAGGACTATGAATAGCAGCATTATCGTTAACAATGACGTTATTATTTGGACCTATATTAGTTACAGGTACACTATAAGCAGCAGCACTGTGAGTAGTATCACAACCAGGAGTATTGTTAGTCACAATTCTATTAACAACAACGCTGTTAATAATAGCTTTATTGGGAGCTCCAGTATTAGTACCAATATTGTTAGCAGCAGTACTATGAATAGCAGCATTGTATGTATCAATGTTGCGTGAGGCAACAGAATAAACAACAGCATTATTAGCAACAGTTCTATTAGCAACAGTTCTATTAGCAACAGTTCTATTAGCAACAGGTCTATTAGCAACAGTTCTATTAGCAACAGTTCTATTAGCAACAGTACGCTTTACAGCAATATTATTAACAGAAGGGGTATAAGTTGTAATACTTTTACCTGCAGCACCATTAGCAGCTGTAATATTAATAGCAGCACCGTTAGGAGGAGTATTTTGTGCGGTAATACTATCAAAAACAGCTCTATTCGCAGCATGAGTGATGGTGGAAGTGTCATAGGCAGTAGAATAGTCTACAGCAGTACTATTAACAGAGGTACTCTTTACAGCAGCGGTATTAGTACAAACACTATAATCCCGGGGACAGTACGCAGTTGCATTATAAGGAGGAAAGTTGTATGCAACAGCGGGATGCACGGCAGTACTATTACCATTAGTAGTATTAGCAACACTGTTTGTAGCAGCACTATAATCAGAAGGGCAACCAGCAGGAGCACTATAAACAGCAGTGCTATGAGCAGCAGCGTTATGTGCAGCTGTAGAACTAGCAGCAGCACTATTAGAACCAAGACTATTAGCAGTAGCACTATTAGCAGCAGCAACATTACGAGCAGCAGTAGTATTAGCAGCTGTACTATTTGCATTAATATTGCGAATAGCGGCATTAGTAACAGGACTACAAAAAGCGGCAAGAAAAGCAGCAACTGTATTAGAATCAGCGCTATTAGAAGCAGCGCTAGTAGAAGCAGCGCTATTAAAAGCAGCGCTATTAGAAGCAGCGCTTTTAGAAGCAGCGCTTTTAGAAGCAGCGCTTTTAGAAGCAGCGCTTTTAGAAGCAGCGCTTTTAGAAGCAGCACTATTAGAAGCAGCGCTATTAGCAGCAGCAAGAAAAGCAGCTATATTATTTGCAGCCACAATTTTTTCATGAGGAGTATTATCAGGAATATGGTTACCAACAGCGCTGTTACTAGCGGCACCGTAAACAGTAGCAGCACAAAAAGCGGCAGCATTAAAAGCAGCGAAGCGGTAATCATCGGCTATGCGATATGCAGCAGAGTTAGTATTATCCATAATACTATTAACAGGAGCATTGCTGGTAGCAGCGCCAAATATGTTATGGTTATGAGCAGCTGCACCGAATGCAGAAGCATTGAAAGCAGGAGTGCTGTTAGCAGCAAATCTACGACGCAGCTCAGAATCATTTGCAACAGCATTATAAACAGCATTGTAATAAGCAGAAGTGTTACAAATAGCAGCGCGATAAGCATCAACATAAGCATTAGGATTATTATAAGCGGCATTGTTGTTGTAAGCGACATTGTTGTTATAAGCAGCACTGTTGTTAAAAGCAGCAATGTTATTAAAAGCAGCACTGTTGTTATAGGCAGCAATGTTATTAAAAGCAGCACTGTTGTTATAAGCAGCACTGTTGTTGTAAGTAGCAATATTGTTATAAGCAGCACTGTTGTTGTAAACGACATTGTTGTTATAAGCAGGTATATTGTTAAAAGCAGCAGCGTTGTTATCAGCAGCAGTATTGTTATGAGCAGCAGCGTTGTTATAAGCAGCAGTGTTGTTATGCGCAGCAGTGTTGTTATGAGCAGCAGTGTTGTTGTGAGCAGCAATGTTGTTATGAGCAGCAATGTTGTTATGAGCAGCAGTGTTGTTATGAGCAGCAGTGTTGTTATGAGCAGCAGTGTTGTTATGAGCAGCAGTGTTGTTATGAGCAGCAGTGTAGTTATAATCAGAGTTAGCATTGTAGGCAGCACTGTGATTATAAGCAACAATTTCAGCAGTAGAACGTTTTGCAGCTCCAGAACCTATAGTGTCATTAACGATCGCAGCGGAACGCTTCATAGCAGTACATTTACGGGCAGAAGTATGAGTAACATCATTAACAGGGGCGGCATTACTAACAGCAGCAAATAAAGCAGCCTCTTCAGCAGCAGCAGCTTTGGCCGCAATTGCTTTTGCAGCGGCAGCTTTGGAAGTGCTAGGCATGCAATCACTATCTATAGCAGCAACAGTTGTAGAATTATTGTTACTAGTTGCAGAAGCTCTATCAGATTTGTAGGTGCTAGCAAGATAAAGTGCGGGATTATTAGCAGCAGTCATAGCTGCTCCACTTGCTTGTTGAACAAGAGCATAATAATGAGCAAAAGTGTTGTTGGACATTTAAAATTATTATATTTTAAAAATGTGGTACGAAACAAATATTTCTTTTTAAAAACTTTAATGACGCGTTTTGTTTTGTTAAACTTACAATGACAACGAGAGACCCGTTTAGTTTAATTGTTATGCTGTTTTAAACTTACAATGACACCGAGAGGCCCGTTATCACATTCTTTAATATGAGAATGCAAAGGGGAATAGATAAAAGCCTGCAGTGTTGTAAGCAGTTTAGGTATATTAGATAATTGTTTATTACATTTTTAAAATTAATTAGAAAATTTTTTCTAATAAACCAATAAGCACTTTTTGAAGAAGGTTTTCTTTTATTTTCTTTTATCCGTAATAGTCATCATTAAAAAAAATCACCTCATAACTGTTATCATTCGCAATTTAAAATAAAACTCAAAAAATTATAATTGAATTTATTAAAAATAATTATTATTATGTGCGTTTTATTTTTTCACGCACAAATAACTCTTACGCTTACAATCTGCTTTATTTTTATGAAATTACAAAAACAACTACCTTACATACAAAATCCATTTCATATTTTCGTTTATCGTATATCAGGCAATCCGTATGAGTTGTATTTTGTTTTCAAAAATAAAAATTATTCCTGATTTGTACATTTTTATGACAAAAATAACAGTTATAAAGACATAAGAAAGTAATTTTGCTATTTAGTAATTTATAAGACACAAATTCCGTGTACCAAAGTGGACCAAACCAATCTACAAATTCGAAGTGAACTTCTAATAATCAATTATATTAACATTATAAACACCTTTTCTAGTTAGCAAATCGACTTCTTATATACCTAAAATTTTAAAAAGTGCTGTTGTGAAGCATATTAAACCATTTTCATATACCACTTTGATTACACAATGGTAACAAAAATTATGTAGTATATCCTTACCTAATGGTTTTTATCTGATTAAATTTCAAACAGATTTGAAACAGAAATTCAGTTTTAAGCACCAAAGAGGTTAAAGTATATAAAATTACTTCTGGATTAAAGAAATGATGAACTTAGTCACCAAAACAGAGTCGCTCCACCCAAAATCCCTGCCTCAGCTTTCTTTAACCATGTTTAGACGTACGGAATACACCTGCCGAGCAGTGCAGTAGCATCTTTACCCTGAAATTCTGCAAATATTTAGAAAATAAATTAAAAATGATTCTAAGAAAGTTCCTACAATTTAATAAAATTAATTAAAAAATGCACTACATTGAATCTAAATCATCATAAACACCTTTTAAAGATAAACATAAATTTTGATTACACTATATTAGTTCTAGCATTTTTAGATGTCTAAGATAACTCAACCAATTTTGATGGGGTTAGATACTTCATAAGGAAACAAAAAGAGTGTCAACGTAACTCTACAATTTTTTATATTAAGTATACCGTCTACACGAATGATAATTACATATAGATAACAAGGTTAGGTTGTGAATTTATTCAAAACTTGTCAGGCTTTAATACACTAGACATTAGACACAATACTCGTATACTAACTTAAGGTTTTAAGTTAATGATTCAGTCTTAGAAACTACTACATACACACTTTTTTCTTATGCTTCAGTATATATTTTAATAGCTTGATATTTTGAAATAGAGCCAAACGTTAGAAATTGCAATTGAAACTATGGTTGTATTGTTTGGATACTGCATAATCGCCTCAAACATAAACCTGTATCTATATTTTTCTACACATATTGTATTCTGACAAATCTATTATATTTTATATTACGCCAATAACATAATTAAGATACTCGTATGTAATTAAAAATTAATAATATAGCCTTTGCTATTTAGTAATTGATACGTAAACAAATTCAGTGTACCAAAGTGAACTAAACCAATCTACAAATTTCAGAGGAACCTCTAATAATCAATTATATTAAAATAATAAACACCTTTTCTAGTTAACAAACTGAATTCTTATATAGCTACAATTTTTAAAAAGTGCTGTTGTGTAGCTTATTAAACCATTTTCATATGCCACATTGATTACACAATGGTAACAAAAATTATGTAGTATTTTTAACTATCATCTAAATAAATTTTCTAAGGTAGGAAACATAACTTCAGTTTTAAGCTGAAGTGAGTGAATTTAACACTAAAATTAATTTTTAAGTTATTTAAGTATAAGGAACTGAACTGCTAGGTCCTTCACCTGGGATCATTGACTGTTATTTTTAAATTAAGTTTTGTTATAAAAAGCAAATTAATTTATCTAATATTATTCATATTATATTAATAATTCAATTATTTATATTTCATAAAGAGGTTTTTTTGCGAACAGTAGTGAACTACAATAACAAAAATTCATTTTATATTATTTTGATTAATTGAATTTTTGGCTGACCATATAGCTGTTTCAAGTATTGCCAAATATCCATCATCACTCGGCTTGGATATAATTCTTGTATTTAATTATTCGTAAATAATTTTTGACACTGCAAGTACCAGGAATCGAACTCGTGTCCTGCCAAATTTGAAGTTTAGAGTCAGGTGCGCACCTTAACCAACTATGTTTAATATTTTATATTAATATTTTATTTAATATTATTTAAATATTAATTTTAATATTTTATATTAAACATAGCTCAACGTTTTATTTCATATGAAGCAAAATTGATGCTACATTTAACACGTAGTCAAGGACTGTAAAGTGACCCAAATGACAAGTTGCTCGTATTTAGTAAGTATCTATTTATACATATATATGTAGGTATTTTTGTATATATGCTATCATATCTTATATATCATTTCAACAATGAAATTTAAACTGAACCTTTTAAATGAAAATTTTAAAGAAAAAGAGAAGAAAAAAACAAAGGAAAATAAGGATGCTTGATCCTATTGTACACACTTTAACCTAACTATTAATTTAAATGTGTATCCTAAAATATATACTTATGCATTTTTAAACATACACACTAAGATACAAACATACAAATGAGCACTGCTCAAAATCTACGACATTGAATCGAATCGAAATCTTAAAACTCAGGTCAGAATGCTTTCAGTCAGTCATAGGATCGCTTTATGGGATCGATTCATAAAAGGATCGCCTTAAAAGGATCGCACAAATTCGCATTAAATTTTCTTGTTTACCCAAATTTTTGATTTTGTTCTGTTTTGGAATTTCCAGCTGTAAAATTGAAGACATACACATTTGTATGTATCATACATAGATACATATGCATGTATCTGTGTATGTATATACCATCTTAAATAGTTTTTCCGAGAACATACATAACTAAGTAGAATATTTTTTTTATTTTTGTTTTTCAATGAGAAAATCTACCTGAATCTGAGATTCTTGTTAAAGACATAAAAGATAGCGTAAAAATTTTGATATTGCAAAAGGAAGTATGTTCCTTTTGAAGGAATAGTATGAAGAATTTGGACGCAAGGTCACATTATATTTATAAATTATAAATAAAACAATATATGTTCATATAACGATATGACGCCAATATAGTTAAAAAGTATATTTGAAATAATATTATAATTTTAATTAATGATGTTAATCGAAATATCAACGTTTTCATACGTTATTAGTTAATTACAATAACTAATAATTTTTTTATACACATATATATATATATAACATATATATATATCTATATTTTTTTTTTTGTAGAAATATATACATATGTACATATATTACACTCAATATAAAAACTTATTATTATACAATATATAATAATTAAATAGTTATTATGTTGCATAATATGTATTATAAAAATCTTAATAATTTTTTTTTCGGTACTGGTTAAAATAAAGATATTTTTAAATAAGCAAGTAAATACGTTTCCGCATCGATCATTATTAAATTTGTTAAAAACAATATTTGAAATTTGAGAATGAACTGAATTTGAATCTTTTTAAATCAAAAATCTTTTCTTATAAGATATCAGGGAAAATATTTTATTTTAATTGGAATTGCTTTTTCATGATCAGTCCCACATGTACACATAAACTGATATTCATACGTACATACATAAGGCATTCAAGCGTACTTATCAACCCTTGCACATACGCCAGCTTACATTTGTCTGTTATTTTAAAAGTAAAAATTTTAGTGTTGCCAGATGTATATATTTTTCTATTTTATTGAGTACAGATTGATATCATGTTACTACTGCAGCTAAAACTACATATGCTAATGCAAGTAATATTTAGACATTATCATTGGCATAAACTATTTTATGTATGTGAAATAGCTTGTTGATACGTTTTAAACATACATAGCATAAAACAAATATTGCAAATATTAGGCCGTGTGCGAGTTCGAGTAAATTGACGGTATATTGAGGGAAACAGTAAATTATGTCGGTATGGCAGAGATGTTGGTATATACCAGAATTTCGATTGGATAAATTATATAAAAATTAGGTAAATTGGGTGTTAACATTGTGAAAATTTTATGAGACGTTTAATAAATAAAAAAATTAATTTGAAAACTTTTAAACAAAAATAATAAATAAATGCAATAAATAAATAAATATATATTTACATATGTACAGTGCGAAAAATCCCTAGGAAATTTCAATTTACTGTATTTCAATTTACTCGTACTTGCACACTGCCTTATGTGTTGCTTTCTACATTTTAGCCTTAAATCGGTTCATTCATTTATAATAAGCTCATTTATATGAAACTTCTTTGTGTGGTAAATTATTAGTATTCGTAATTTTTTCTTTCTGAGTTGTGAAAAAACAACATTAAGTCTGGTTAAAAAAAAAATTGGTAAAAAAAATTGATTGAAAAGGTAGACTGAAGCTAAATGTTAACTTTTAATGAATATTTCCGAAACAAGTATATTATCTTTTTTCGATATAAATAATAAAGACTTTCATTTCTTATTTAATTATTATTTTATTGTATATGCATATGTACTATATTTTATAATTTTTTACATTATAAATTATTATTAAAACGTTTAAAGTATTAACGCTGAATTTTTATTTATAACTTATGTGAAGTCACTGAATCAACGAAATCTGATAAATTTTTTCTGCATTCGATATCACCGCAGCTAAATCTTTTATAGTATATTTTAAAACAAACGAAAATAAATCGAAAGATTTAGATATATATTTAAAATTAATTTAAAGAATTTTAAAGAATTGTAAATAGTATGTTGTGATTCTGCCAAGTTCTAAAACTCCAAATATTTTAAAAAAGCAAATTAAGAAAAACAAATGTCATATGTAATGTGTTAAGTCAAGTTTAATTTTATCATTCTAACCCGATGTTATATCTTCAGAAGAATTGTGTAAGACAACTTAGGACGTGTGCGAGTTAGGCTAAGTTGAGTTCTAAATAAGTGAAATTCTAAGATGAGCCGATAATGTAGTGATGTGTCGATACGTGTTGATAAATGGCTAAATGTGTGCAGTGCAAAAAATCCCAAAAAATTTCCCATTTCGTTTAGCATCAACTTAGCCTAACTCGCACACGACCTTAATATTATAATATTAAATCAAAATATTAAGACCGTGTGCAAGTCGAGTAAATTGAAATTTCTTGGAGATTTTTTGCACTGCACTCATTTAAATATATATTTACTTATTTATTGCATTTATTTACTATTTTTGGTTAAAATTTTTCAAATTTATTTATTTATTTATTAAAAATCTCATAAAATTTTCACAATGTTAATATCTAATTTACCTAATTTTAATCTAAATTACCCTACTTGAAATGCTATTAATAAATTTTATATTTTTTATTTGCTTTACAAACGGAATGAAATTCGTTATTATTTCAACGAAACTATAAAACATTAGCAATGTGAATTGTGTTGTAAATAAAACTATTATTTATATATATATATGATTTGAGATAATATACTATATGTGATATTGGTTTACTCTTGATAAATTTGTGTATGTAACAAAAAAATAAACTAAAGAAATAAGATGGAAAAAAATAAGTTAATTTATTTAAATAATTTAAATAACAATAATCATGGCTATTGAATTTTGAATTCTAAGATACAATAGAATTGCTTAATCTAATACATCATCAATTACAGTAAAAAGCGGCGAAATGCATAAAAGAAATAAGTCTTTCAGATAAGAAATAAATACTCAACGAAAAACACAATAAAGGAGAAATAGACCCTCAGGTGATCCACAAAAACTATGGTACAAAGGTAGGACATCAATATCTTCAGATACTGATAGGTATAAAAGTACAACAATAATTAACCAAACCAAACCGACTATTAAAAGAATAGAACTTATCCTATAAAAAACAACAAAAAAAAAGAGAAAAAGAATCTTAATTGCATTAAATCTTCATAATAATTATTATTATATGTTATTATGCAGTCTAAAACATTCTGTCTGTCCTAAATTAGCGTTTACACTTAATAGACTTTACTTAAAATTTTGCAGAAACTCTCACTTCTTCACAAACACATACCAACTTTTGTTCGCAGAGAAAAATCGAATATAATATGTATATAGATGATAATGTATGTTTTTGTTGTAATATGTTTAATATTCAGCTTATGCAAATTAACAAATTTTTCTTTCAAAATGTTAGAGTATTTTGACTTTAACTTTAAATTTACTGACTAAACATACTATTAGGTTATGGTTTACAACTATTTAAGATTATAATTCATGATCATTGTTATTGTCCGAAAACTATATAACAAAATTTATATCTCTGATAATGTTTAAAAAAAAATCAATCGATCATTTGGTTTGAATATAATATTAAAGTACATTTTAATAAATTATACAAGAAACAACAAAATATTGAAAAATATTTTAAATATTAACATAAATTTATCTCTTTATTTATTTCATAAATAATGAAATTAAATTTATTTATTTTTATAAATTATATAAGAAATACCAAAATCTTGAAAAATATTTTAAATATTAACGAAATTTTTATTTATTTTATAAATAATAAAATAATATTTATTCATATTTATTAATTAGACAAGAATTACCAAAATCTTGAAAAACATTTTAAATATTAATGAAATTTTTAAATAAAATAAAATTTATTCATTTCTATAAATTATATAAGAAACACCAAAATCTTGAAAAATATCTTACATATTAACGAAACTTTTATTTATATTTATTATATGAACTAGATGTTCTATTAATAGTTATTTCTTTAAATAGACATATTAAGTAAAATAGTGGTATAATTGCAAAACTTTTTGAAACCAAAAAAAAAATTGATAATAGATAAATTAACTCAAATTTTTCTTATACCGTAAAATTTATAAAATTTCTTAGTACTGCAAATCATCGAATATGGCATCACTGTTTACATTGTTTTGTATTTCAATAATTTTTCTTCATCCCCTCTGGGTAAAGGCAATAAGTGTAACAGTTTCCCGCGCGAAACGAAACGATTTACATCGTAGGTTGTGTTTCTTGTATAATGTTAAGACGATTAAATAAAAATAAATAGTTAATAAATTTTATAAATAACACTTACAATAAGTTAGTTATGTGAAAAAAAAATCAAGACTCTGAAATGCAAATTTTAAAAACAATTTCTGTGGTAGTTTATAAAAAATTTTTACCCTTAATAATTGTCTTCCGACGGCAATAATTGACATTAGCGGAGGAATTTGCTTCAGTACGGTTTTATAAGTCCATCGACATCGTCCCTGTTGTTTTTTGAGTGTTAAAGTGCCATCGAATTAAGTTTTTTTTAAATAAATTTATAGTCTGGTATCGGGTTTTGGAAAATATATAAATTTTTACGAAAAGGAAAGCATTGAATAAGTAAGTTAAAATTAATAATTATATTACTTTTGTGTATTTAGTTTTATTATGAACTTGCTGATAGTTTATTGATATTTGTATAAATAATTAAATTGTAAAAATAATAAGAAATAATAATAGATTCTCCAAATTTAAAATTTTTTTTCTCTTTCGATTTAACAGTTTACTTTTTACCAAACAGTTATTTGTGTTAAATATAATTTAATTATAAATATGAAGACAATGGGCTTTGAGCCTATATAAATTTCCAACATTTTTTGAACAGACTTAATAACAAGAAAAATTTATAAAAAACTTTTGATAATATAAAAAATTTTCTGTATAATCGCAACATATTTTTCACATTAGAGTTTTTTTCATAAATATATTATTTATTAATTATATTAACTGTATAATAGGCATTAGTATAATGTTTGATATATAAATGGTATAAATACTATTTATTTAATACTGTTATAATAAAAATCTCTGATATTTCAGTAATGTTATTTGTGATAATGTATTTCTTAATAATATATATACATTAAATATATTATTGTGTCTTAATATAAACATTAAATATTAGTAAATTGTTATATACAAGCTAATTGATCAATATTAAATAACACACAACTTTTTAAATTAGTTTTAAAAAATATTTTAATGTTACAATTATTTCGACTATAGTTGACTATTACGACTACAGTCTTTGAAAGATGATTATAGACTATATTTCAAATATAGTCTATAGCCTATATTTCAAAGAAAATCTGTTCTATAGAAACATACTATATAGTCTATGGAAGCAGATTATATTTTAAATAAAAAGTCTATAGAAGCAGACTATAGACTGTATTTCGAGTATAGACTATAGAAGTTGACTAGACCACATTTCGATTATAGTCTACAGAAAATGAGTATAGACTATATTTCGACTGTAGTCAGACTATGTAGTGTACGGAGGTGACTATTGACTATAGTCTATAGAAGATAATTATAGACTATATATATCAACTTTACTCTATACAAGCTGACTGAAGACTATATTTCGACTATAATCAATAGATGATGACTATAATCTACATATATAAGATGATCTACAGGCTACATTTCAACATCATCATCATAATTCAACGATCCTAGTTGTCGCTTGCTAAAGTTTTTTTTTTGGTTTTATATATAGACTGAAGATGTAGTGAATTGATTTCGAGATCTATAGAAAAAAAGTAAATAAAATAAGTATGTGTGCCCAAAGTGCTTACAAAAAAAATAAAATAAATTTTTGTAATTTAAAATTTTATACCGATAATCTAAACTATAATTAAACAATTTTTGTTTACAAATTTATAGATCATGCTACGCACATATTGATATATGTATTTATACATACATATTTACATTACTGTTTGTAAGAGTTTAATGACAAACATAATAATGTATTGATTTCGCAAATGCTTTTCACAAAATCATAACTGCAAAAACAAAATTGTCTAGACAACTGGCGATTCATATTGTGCATTTATTTTAGATACGGGCGCCTGAAATACTGTCCAAAATTTGAAGGGATTTACAAAGTTTTTTCATGCTAAGCGTTAATAGAAAGTGTATAATACGTTTAATATCTTATGCGTTTCAACTAGTTCATCGAAATCCATCGAGCACTAAACTAGCTATTCGAACAGTTCGCGCATTCTCGAATTCAAACATTTGGGTGATCAATTTTTCGTCAGGGATGTCCAACCCTTAACATTTTTCTCATACTTGTTTTTATAATTTGTTGCGTATCGTATACCTACGCAAATAAACATTTTATTTATAATTTTCGAAAAGCATTTATAGTGTATTTCACTTTAAAATTTGCATAATCTTTTTTATGTTTGGTATTGTACGCGCAACAAGTAGTTCGAATAATAGAGCTGCTTGAAAAGGTTCGTCCGACCTGCTCGAAGAAGAAATCTACTTTATATTTCATGAATTTGCGCTTTGTTTTATGTAAAAACTTACCTAAAACAACAAATTTTGCTCGAAAATTGAGTTCTTCAAAAATTGTAATTCAGGCCAAATTTCGATTTTCTAGACACGCCAAGTTTTAGCAGTGCCAGGTATTTTAAACAACTCTTCTCGTTAAGCTATGTATGTGTGTCGAAGTTAAAAGTTATTATTATTTATTAAAAACTTAGTCTTAGTATGATTTCCACAAATCTCTGTTTCTACCAATATGTCTTAACTCATAAATGTTTTATATGTTTTCTTATTCACGCTTCTACGCCATGTCATCTTGGGGCATTCTTGCACTTTGGGGGTTCCATTGTAGAGCTACATCTACTATTTCGTTTGCGTCCTTTCGAAGGGTATATCCAATCCATTTGTATTTTCTTCATACTATTTCTTTCTCAATAGGGATTTGTTTAGATATTTTCCATAAACTAGTATTAGTTATCGTACGTGACTACCAAATACTGACTTTACGTCGTAAACATCTATTTACAAATAATTGTAGTTTACACATCGCCTCTTGTTTTAAGTGTCATGTTTAGCTGCCGTAAATTAGCACTGACTTAACGCAGGAATTACCCGCGAAAGACCGGAGAAGGTATTTATTTTACATTGATTAAACAAACAACGAGTAACAAATAAAAGACGAGTCGATATGTTGTAAAAACTGAGCATCTCATAAAATATGTGCAGAAAGGATTAGAATTTCTAGTTTCTTAGTAAAAATTACGAGATTAGTTTTGTTTCGTTTGATCCATTGGGCTGGTTTTGATTGATCCAAAGGGCTGTATTTGCTTATTCCAAAAGACTTTTTTTGGTATATCTTTTTCAAGAGTTTTTAACCAATTTTGCAACACATCCACGATAAAATAGGTTTGACGCTAATTTTTTGTAGATCTATTAGTGCTATTAGTACCATTAGTTCTTCTCTCCACGTAACGGGAAATGAAACAATGTTGAAATATAATCAAAAATTGATATTTGCTGTAAAGGATATTAAAGTTTAACCAGGTGGTTGTGGGGATTCTGAGGGTTTAAAATTATAAGTATAAATTTAATAATCATTCATTTGAGTATATATATGTCTAACCTTATAGATTCAACCGATAAGAGACTCCAACGAAAAAAAATACACTTGCAAAAGTAGATAGAACCGGGATTAAAACTGCGTACTTTTAAATAGAAATGACTCAGTCCACTGTATATTTCTGACCAATTAGCTATACGTCAACATGTTTCATGAGATCATTACTATCTCAATCATTAACATTTGGTTAAACTTTTTCAATTTAATTATGAATAGTAACTTCTATAGGTAAATTTTGTTGTTATCCATACTTTGATTCAAGGCAATCGATATTTTAACCAGTACTTAATTGAATAACATAATCTTATGTTGTATTTAAATATTATAACTTATAGAATATAAATTAATAAATTAAATTATTTATTTAAGGTTTTTCGCTTCAATTAATATCAATATGTCTATTGAAAATCAAATGAAGATACTCACTGGCAGATCTGAAAATTACAAGCGTGCTTTACAGCATGCTGAAATAATGAAGAATGTGACAGAACCGCCAATGATGCTTGACAGTTGGACACAAACCGCAAGCAGTGATTTTGATCATTTATTCAATCAATACTGTGAAAAATATGAAAGCCAATTCGTTGAAGATTTACGCGAAAAAGTACGCGTTCTAGAGGAAGAACTTAAAAAGAAAACTGGAATTGTCCCCGACGTTCGTCTACCGCAATCAGCAGTAAATCCACCACAAGCTGTACATTTAAAGCACGATAATTATCTATTGTATCAAAATTGCCAAACAGCCTACAATAACATTCAAACAATCAGCCCACAATATGTGCAGATGTCTAACGGAACTGCGGCCATTATAAATAATGTAATGCAGCCAGTTATGCAGCATCCAGTAAAGTACACCATCGTCACTGAAAACGGCCACAATGGCGATACTGGTGAAGTACGCATCATAACAGAAGCTGAAAACGTACGAGCAAATTCGAATGCTTCTGCAGAGTCCTGTGGCTTACGCATATGTTTATCTGATGAAAATCTGAACAGTAAACCCCATTATGATGGTGGAAACACTAAAATAGTAATGAGAGATGATAATATCTCACCAATAATAATCAAGCGTCGAAGAACAAATTGTGAAGAACCTGAAAAAAATAAATTTCTTGCAGAAGCAAGTGTTTTACATACGCCACCATCTCCATTATCATCGTCTCCTTCGCCAATGTCATTTGCAGCTAAAGTAGAACCAGGATCTGTTGTGATAGAACGAACTCCTAAAAAAATTCTATATAAATCAACAATAACCAAACCAGTGCCTATTAAAAACAATACCAATACCGCTCAAGGCTTTATAACACCAAAAGCACAAAATCGTGAGGGAGTGGATTTGGAAGGTGTTATGATTTCTATTGGTCCAAATAATACCCGTGTACCAGCTAAGGTATTCGAATCTATTAATTGGGCATCAGCTTCGATTGCCACACGCAAATTGCTTATGCAGATCTTCGATCGTGAAACTCTAGCTTCACATTCGATGACTGGAAAACCATCACCAGCCTTCAAAGATCACTGCAAACCATTGAAAAAAATGTTGAATCCATTAATTATAGCAGACGTCATCTTTGCTGTAACACGTAAATGCGGCGTCTCGGAGAAAGAAGTACGTACTGCCATAACTACAAAATGTGCAGATGAGAACAAGATGCGAAAGCTACAGATAATAAAACAAAATCGCACCCTTCGAGAAATCAACAAAGAGAATGTAACAGAACCTAATAGAAATTAAAATTAATATCCGATTTATTTATTTAAGTAATTAGAAATTTTTAAACGTTGTATAATTACTTAAAGTAATACTAATTTTTATCTGAATCAATGCCTGAAGGGCTTGATAAAAAATCATTTCAATGAAACCAAATTATAATAAAATATAGAGTTTGATTACATATACTATATATAATAGTCAAAAAGTAAGTCTTTTTTGTACAATATGTAAACAAAGTTTATATAAAAGATAAAAGTAAAAAAAATTATGCATAAGTAAAAAATGTGTGAGTAAAATGTGAGAGAGAGAGAGTAAGAAAAACTAATTTAAGATACTCTTATGCAGGTTGTAGAATTTTTGCCTATATATCCGTACTTTAAGTTTTAAAAAATTAAGAATATGATTTATTGAATATAAGAAAAAACTTTATTTAGAAAATTAATATAAAAAAATAATTGCTAATACTGATAGGGAACTACAACCATGCCATTTGGACCAGAAAAAATAATTTAAAATGTATAATATTAATACATGGAGGAATTATATTATATATATATATTATATATGTATTACGCATATATTATATATATATATTATATATGTATTACGCATATATTATATATATATTATACATATATTATATATATATTATATATATATTATACATATATTATATATATATTATATATATATTATATATATATTATTATATATATATTATATATATATATTATATTATATATATTATATTATAATATATTATATTATTACATATTATATATATATATTATATATATACATATTACATTATATATATTATATATTACATATTACATTATATATATTATATATTACATATTACATTATATATATTATATTATACATATTATATATTTTATTATACATATTATATTATAGATATTATATATTATATTATAGATATTATATATTATATTATACATATTACATATTTTACTATACATATTACATGTTTTATAATACATATTACATATTTTATTATACATATTATATATTATATTATATATATTAGTTTTATTTATATTACATATATATTATATTATTAATAATATATACATATATATATTATATTATATTATATATTATTATAATATTATATATTATATATATAAATATGTGTAATTATATATTTTATATATATATATATATATATATATGTAATTATATATTATATATTTTATATATACATATATGTAATTATATATTATATATTTTATATATATATATATGCAATTATATATTTTATATATATATATATGCAATTATATATTTTATATATATATATATATGCAATTATATATTATATATATATATATAATTATATATTATATATTTTATATATATGTATAGTTATATATTATATATTTTATATATATATATAATTATGTATATATATCATATACGTATATAATTAATATACATATTTTATATTATTATATCTCTAAAATTCCGAAACCTTTTAAATAAAAAACCGCAAGTTTGAAGGATTATAATTTCCAAATGCATTTAAGTAAAAGGATATATTAGGTATCGAATTAAATAATATATGATGTGCTAAAATCGTTGAAGCTATTTTAATAAACAATTTCCAAGATAAAGTTATATATGTAACAGCTACTATCTCGTTTAATATTAAAAATTGGCTCATATATGCATATAATTTTTGTCGTTTCTCAGACCAAGGAATCATTTTCTCCATTTGTGTAATTTCCTTGCAGAAACATATATATACATATATACGTATATATATATATATATGCATTTTTTAAATAATATACCAGAAACGCATTAAATGTAGAAGAGAATGCTATTAAATATATAATACAATCGAATTTTAAATTTGAAATGAAACTTAAATTAGTTAAATTATTTGAGATACCAAACATAATAAATTATTAAATATGAAATAGATATATATAAAAAAAACTTTTTATATAACTTCAACTGATAAAATAACTCATAAAATAACAAATAAAATTGATAATAATAAAATTCAAATTGCTAAATCAAGAATTGATTAAAATGAGTTAGTAAGATTAATAATAAAATGTATTTTTATGTATTTATTATGTATTTATTTAATTATAAATATATAATTATAAATCTATACGTTAATACATAAATCTTTTATAAATAAATAATAGTTATTTATACCATATAATAGTTATTAATCTTATTGAAGTTGATTAATTTTTTCGTTTATAAGGAAAAAAAATTTAAAGTATTATATTTATTTTATAAATAAATGTTGTATAAAAGCAGACTAAGCCACAATACAAAAATCAATTTATATTGTAATTATTACATTTTAAAAATATATATTATATGTATATATATCACTTTTATAAAAGTACTTGAGTTTACACATTAAATTTTATTTTTTGATTAAAAATTCTAAAATATATATAAATCATATGATATATGATGTGAATATATATACAATTGTAGTGTACATTTATAATGGGTTATAAAAATTCATACATTATAAGAAAATGATATATAAAGAAGAAAATGTATAAAAGTTATTATAATGTTCATAACAATATATTTATATATATATACAATATATTATATTATACAAAAATATACTTTTGGTCATAATATAAAATCCGTAAATTTAATAACTTACATAATAATACAATACATAATTATTTTAATTGTTTTTATTTCCATTAAATATGTGTGAATTAAAATATAATATGTTTGTGTGTATATCAAATTAATAATATAAGTATGTAAATGTATTGTAAGTTGTATATTTTGCATTGTATTGATTTAAAACAATTAAAACAAAAAATTATGTTTAGTTCACAAAAGTATTACGTATAAATTGATCTCATTCTATAAAAATGTAGATTGCTTTTAAAATCAAAAAAGAAATTATAACAATTATCGTAAAAAATTAAAACATTGTAAACATCATAAATAAATTATACCTTAAAAATATCCTTCATTACGAAATGGATCCTTTTTGATATTTTCATTATTCGATGATATACAAATTATTAAAAAAATAATAAAAATACATTTTTGCATATACAGTAAACGCTCAAGAGATATAACTCTTAGATATTAGATCGTCTTAAAATTAGAACCTGATTTTACTCTTCAATTAGATCTAATCTTAAATTAGATCTTGTAATTTCAGAAAGTTGTTTAATATTCAGTTTTTTGCATGTACGTTGCCCATCAACAAAATAAAATTAAAAACGGGGAACCACCATACTCGTTATTTTATTTTCAGCGAATGTTGAAAACATTAATAATTTAATTAAATGGTGTAAAAAGAATTAAGTTCTTTTTCCTAAGCACGCGACCGACCAATCTATCAATTCTCCGTAATAATATTTTTATAAATAAATTAATAACAAAACAACAAATAACAAATTTGTTATTTGTTTTTGAAAACAAATGTCATCAGATTTTTACAAAAAAAACGATATAACTTTTACTTTTTATAAAGAAAATAACATCCAGACCTGCCCGAAAAAAGGGTTTCTAATGTGTGAGCGTCCACTATATATGTATATGTATGTAGGTATAATGAATAAATAATAAAATATTTTTAATAAATAATAATAATAATTATTATTTTTTAAACAAAAATAATTTTATTTAAATATTAACATGTTTATGTGAATATGTAAAATATGGGAGATAATTTTGAACAAAATTTTAATTTTTTTATATTTTTTATAAATAAAAAATTTAAATTCACTTTTTAATTTACTGAATTATTTCATTTTCTTTTATTTTATAAGTCAATTTTAAATTATATTTACATAATTAATATCTGAATATTATTTATAATACGAGTATAATTAATATTACAAATTTTATATTATAATTAATATTAATATTAATATAATATTGTATTAATTATATTATAATTAATATAATATAATATAATAATATAATATAATATTAATTATATTATGATTAATATTAATATAAGATAATATTAATTATATTATAATTAACATTAATATAATATAATATTAGGTTTATTATAATTAATATTAATATAATATAATATTAATTATATTATAACTAATATTAATATAATATAATATTAATTTGCCATATTAACACTTAATATAAGTTTATTTGCACGCGTATTTACGCTTGCATACTTCCAAAGAAAGTACCGGTTGCAATATAGGCCCATAATTAGCTGGAGTCAATAGCGCTGAATGAATAACGGTATTAAGATGGGTTTGTGTCATGGTATGTAGGCGATCAAATGATAGTCGATCATTATATTTGTTTCAAATTCTTACCTTACATTAAATGGCTATTGATTGCCTGCACAACATACCATAGCCCCTAGTAAGAAGGTTAAAGGTATCAAAATAGACTACATTCACTTAAGTTCAACCCAATTAAATTTAGAAATTTATATATCCTTTGATGGTGGATATTAATCAATAGATAAGTGCTAAAACTGGTCCCAACAGTCATTTAGGAATTACAACAAGGTTATTAAAAAATTTCAAATTGATATATGTATATATCAATTTAGAAATGTTAGATACATCCGGGTATGCGGGTATTGATACAAAGGTTGATCATTTAATTATTGGAACTACCATGTTTTTTAAAATTTTCTCATAAAAATACTATCAACAAAAGAATAGTTTTAAAGCTTTAACAATTAAAAGATAATTGATTTCAATTTCCATATGTTTGTTCTTTTTAAAAAGTACGGTATGCGCTTTGGTGTGAGAAATCGGAAAACAAGAAAAGCATATCTTGAAATTTTGTGCAGCTTTGACCAAACGTGGGTCAAAACACGCGGGGTCATTACTTATAATTTAGCAGGTGCAAAGTTCTGAGCCTCGCACTTGCTGCCTTATAAAACCAATTTATTTTTTTCAAAGACCACTAATGTTGAGTATTTGTATTCGGAAGCTCAGTCAAAATATTCCAATAATCAAAAATAAAATATTGTTGTTATAATTAACTAATGTTGAAAACCCTTCTGTCAAAAGTGTAATATAATAAAATTTTATTATTTTAAATAATTGATTCAATGAAAGATTTCAATGCTAGAAATGTCATATATATACATAATTGAGAAGCATATTCTACTTATTAATTTAAAAGTAATAAGTATAAATCTAATTGTTTAGAAAAATTTTAAGATTACTAAACATTAATGCTGTATTTAAAATATCTAATGGATCTCTTTATATGGTTTGGATCCAATAGAAAAATAATTCAATTTTTTTTTTCACGTAAATCATAATATATAAAGGAAGATATTACTACGTAAACGCAATTGTCTAAATATATTAAGTTATAATACAATACGCTATTAGGATATAAAATATCTAATGGATCTCTTTATATAGTTTGGATCCAATAGAAGAATTATCCATTTAAATGATGATATATAAAAGAAGATATTACTACCTAACCGCAATTGTTTAAATATATCAAATCATACAATATACGCTATAAGGATATGGATATGAAATGTCTCAACCTGCATT